TCTTGCGTGGTGCTTCCTTACCTGGGGCCCGCTGTTGCTGCAGCTTGCTCTTTTCCAGACAGTGGTGTTGCCGGTCTTTGCCTCGTGCTGTCAGGGGCGACCGCTGTCTCGGGGTTAGCTGTTTGCTGGTCTGCCCGTCTGGGCTCCCTCCTTTCGATGGGGTCGAGCTCGGGGGGCCTTCTGTTTCACCTTGCATCGTCGGGCTGTTGTGCTATAGCAGCGCAACTTTTGAGCCCTTCTTCTTAGTCGCTCAGGACCTTCGGACCTCAATGCGAGTCAGTCAGTCAGGTATAGGGTTTAGGGTTCAGGGTTTAGGATTTGAACCTTTAGGCCTTCAGGGCTTCAGGGCTTTGGGCTTTAGCTTTAGGGATTTGTGGGTTTAGGGAAAGTTTAGGGTGTAGGATGAGGACTTCGGGCTCTGGTTCAGGGATTCTAAGACCCCAGGTGCTGATTTAGAGATTTTTTACGCAGTTGTAGGGTGTTGCGGGGTTCCATGCTCGGCTGTATAGAGAACCGGAAGCACGCTCCGACTTTTCTTGGGGGCCTCACGCGGAAAAACGATGCCCCCTTGTAGACTGGGTTTGGGGTTTAGGGTTTAGGGAGACTTTACTATATCCCCGCACCCGATTTCGCGTATTGAGACCCCTGTGGTAAACCCTATACGGCCCTGTAAAATACCTCGTCTACCCTTTAAACGAGGGCTACAAAGGCCCCACATAAGCCAGTATAGGTACGACGTGGCCTATTCATCTAATTACTATGCTTCACGGCTGAGGGTACGGAATCTAAGGTTTGAAGTTCAGGTCCACTGTTTCAGGTCTAGGGCCTAGGATTTTTGGGTTTCAGGGTTTGGGGTCTTGGCCTTGCAGTTTAGGGTTCGGGTTTAGGCGTTTCTTTTTGCCATAAGAATCTGAGACTTGTGTGGCTGGGCTTTTTGGCGGGAACTGGAGTTTAAGGGTTTTTTGGGGGTCAGTTTGGTAGAGCGTTTGGGGAGAGGGTAAGCTCCAGAGCACACAGTCTGGGTACGACGGCGCATGTTTTGCCCTTAGTGAAATGCTTGTTCTCCCGGATGACACGATCAGCTCATGCAGCAGCTGAGATGGGATGTCGATTGCGGCTTAATGTGCAGGAGTGTGGCTATAGCTACCTGCAACCTTCACATCTAGCACTGCCGCTGAGAAGTTGATGCAACCGCTTCGACACATACATGCTATGCTTCTCAACCTTACAACCGCGAACCCACAGACCTTTCCCTAATTATCCCAAAACCAGGCTCTGCACACTCGACCCTTATAATGGGCTATATAATGGGTATATAACAGCTATACTAAGGGTCTATACCTAGGGGTCCTCATTAAGGGTCCCTCCTTTGACCCTTAGAAATTCAACACGGCCAATCCGAAAGAAGAAGCTTCCCCAGGCCGCGCTGCCTGCTCGGACCGGTGAACACTGCTGCTGGAGCCTGCTATATAGGCCCTAACTATTTTTGGGTTTTGGCTTTATGTAGGGTTTAGATCGCAGGGTTTAGAGCTCAACTTTTTGAGAGGTTTCATGGCTTAGGAGTACCGGTAGGGATCTAGAAATTAAGGCTCAGGCGTCTACACTTTCTTCCATGGTCAGCAGTTTGCCCTGCTTGCGGCAGGTCATGATCGTGCTGCTGCCTGTGGGTGGCAGTGGCGCCGTCGGAGTAGTACTTGGAGGAGGGGACTTAGTAAGTATGGTTATGAATACCCTAATTGGGGTTATAGGTAATTCTAAGTATAGTTACCTTGCTTATAACCCTATTTGCTAACTCCCATGATCCTTTAAGTAGCAGTGGGAGTGGGAGCAGGAGCAGGAGAAGGAGGAGGAGGAGGACGAGGAGTCGTTGCCCCAGGGCTCCGGGCACAGAGCGCTCAGTAGCCCCCTAATGATAAGGGTAGCTGTGTTTCGTTCTATTAGGCTTTATTCAGGGAACCCAAAGAAGAAAAGTTGCAAAAGGGTACTACTTGGGAACCTTGGAATTAGTTAGATGACTGCAATCTGCATTCCGAGTACGTCGGTCCGCATCTCTCGCTGACTTCTCCCGGTCCAGCTTCAAAACGCCGCATAGCACTATGCCACCCTGAACCAAACCCCCTGAACCTGAAACCTTCAACCCTAAACCCTGAACCCTAAACCCTAAATCCTGAACCCTGAACCCTAAGCCCGAAACCCATGAACACCCCTCTGAACCTGAACTCGAAGCCCTGAATCCGACTCTGACATCAACCCTAAACCCGAAGCACTTGTTGATTCGGGTTGTCAAAAATATGGTCCCTTTTTGGCTACCCTAAATATCACGTGCCGCACTATATTAGGGACCCAACAAGGGGACCATAAGTTTGACAACCACCCATATACATAACCCTAATACAGTCTCGGGGTTCCTTAATCAGATTCCTACATGATTATAGTACCCTTATAGATCCCCTATAGATCCTAAACCCTAAACCCTAAACCCTAAACCCTTATAGATCCCCTATAGATCCTTTTGTAGTAACGCATTTCCAATACTTTACGGGAGGCGCCTCCTGTAACAGCTCGGAATGATGGAGCTGCCGACTGGGCCAGGGCCGAGGGGGTGGCACATCGTCTACTGCTTCGTCTTCTTCTTCTACTACGGTTGATGAGAAAAAATCCTGCATGACCCATAATGAGGAATATACCATAATTCCCATAGTTTAGGGTCCTAAGGTAATGCAGGGTTTATATCATCAACCGTACTACTACTACTACTGCAACGACGACAGCGCCACTATTGAGTAACATGCGGCAAACCGTTCCCTGAGCGCAGGGCGTTGGCATAGACCGGCCTCAGCCAACCCAGCGTGCTGTCTCGAACCTACAGTCGCCTTTCTGCACTTAGCGGATCAGGGGACTTAGTAAGTAAGGTTATAAGGAACCAGGTCATCAGTAACTATAAGTATAGTTCCCTCTCTTATAACGCCAGTTACGAAGTCCCATGAAACTTTAAGCACCCCGAAACGTCGATGCGGATCTATTCACAGGATCATGGGACTCAGAAACTAAGGATGGCATACGGTGGGCTCAACAGTATATTCTCAAAAACTAACGACCTTCCTTACTAAGCCCCCTGATCCTGCAAGCAGGGGCGTGGGGCTTTCCTGGGAATGTCTAGCGTCGGGGGTGATGCTTCGCCTGCGACAGCCCGTGTATACTTTGCATGCTCCAGAAGCCTGAGTTTCGCAGTAGTCTGACATGAGTCATGGGATCAAACAGGAATCATGCACAGAGAGGCAGGAGAGGGAGAGAGGGGGAGAGAGATAGAGACATACATATGGACGGACGGATAGATGATTTCATTGGTTGGTGCCCTACACCCGAACCAAGGGTTCGTTACAAGAGTCATAAGCTGTGACGGACTCTCTGACACAACAACTCTGAACCATAAACCCTCAACCCCCCGGCAGTGCTGAGATCGGAGCAGAAAGCAGTTCACCGGCCGCACTGGCGCTGTGTAGCCCTGATGGCACTTCGGGAGCCGTCGGGATTCGCAACTTGGGGCTGCGGCTTTGCATGTAGGGTTCGGGGCTTCAAGAAGGGTAAAGAGATACGGGCTAAGGGATAAGAGTTTAAGGCTGAACCTCTCGTCATCAGTGGAATCTCGGGCGGACTCTGAAGCAGGCCGCAAAACAAAAGTACGTAACAGTAGCCGCACCAAGAACAACTACAACCATGACAGCAGTGATAGTCCCGCGAAGGCACGTGTGCTTTTTGCCTGTCAGCGCCAGCAGGCTATCTCGCGGCAAACAAAAGGTTAGCAGCTTCTGTTGAACCCTAAACCCTTTTACCCTAAACGCAGAACCCCAAACCCTAAGCCCGAAAAAATATTTGGAAAAAAAAACTATCACGCTAAGCCCAAAAAACTACACCCCCTCAGTTTGGCGCCTTGGTGTCGTTAAGATCCTTAAAGTAAGCTAGGATCTCCAGAGCTTCTACGATGTGTCCATACAGTCAGGACCCAAAGGGGTGGCATGGCAGCGATGCACGGGTGATGATTGAGCTAGGATTCCAGCTTTTGCTGAGGCCCCATGCTGCCCATTAACCGACTTCACTGCCGTAATTCCGGGGCCTTAATGGTCAGTCAGAATAGGGCTTTGTGGTATATTGTGCTGTAATCATCATATAAAGGACCCCCCCCGCCACAAATAGTAAAGGTAATTATTCAGGCCCTACATTTAGAACCTCTGCTCTGGTTCCAAGCCTTCCGTGAAAGTTCCTGCAGTACCTAAGGTGGCACCCCAGTCAAGATCCACGTCAGTTTAGGAAAGGCAATGTAGGGGCCTTAATAATTAGAATAGGGTTTTGGGCCCTTTATACTGTAATTATACTGAGGAACCCCCCAAATAGTATAGGCAATTATTTAGGCCTCTATATTGGGCTTGGGGTTTGGAGTTCAGGATTCAAGGACCTTCTATGGAGGCCTGAGTAGTTGTGGAGTGTGTCTTTTGCAAAGATACTTTGGTGAACTCTAAGGAATACCAGCTTCATGGCGACTTTGATACGACACGCCCTGAACGACACACCCTAATGTAGGGGCGTTAATAATTAGAATAGGGTTGGGGGGTATACTCTACTATAACTATAGTCAGGAACCCCCCAAAACTCTATTCCAATTATGAAGGCCCCTGATATAGTACCCTAAATAGTAGGATCCTTATTATAAGCACCCCCAACTTAAAACAACCCCCGTCATGGGGCTCAGGGATGGCGGTCGCCTTTTGGCCCAGGGGGCCCTGTACAGCTGCGACCCGGAAGCCAAGAGAGCTCGGACTGTTTCCAAGCTGAGACTCTCTACTCAGTCTCCTCCCAGAGCCCCTGATAAACTCAAAAGAAATCTAAATCCCGTGAAGCCAGGAATCTCGAAGACACGCCTATCTGAGCTAGGAGCATCTAAGGTTCGGCGCTGGCATAAGTTTGCATGTGCGAGGTGCTTGTAAGCACCGAACCCTGACGTGCTACGAAGACAGCATGCTCTCCAGCACGTAGGGGAGGATGCCACCCCGCTTCCAGTAGGCGATCTCCACCTCTCGGGCAGGCTGATCGTGGTGCAAGTTGAGGGTTCAGGACTAGCTCAGAATTGATACCTAAGACCAAGAACCTGGAAATCGGAACCCACTGCCTCGGTATCCAGCCGGAGCACGGCAGTAAAGCGTTGCTTCGTCCCGTCTGCCTCAGGTTACGATGCATGTCGGCTGCTCGTTTTACGATCAGACTACCCTGATTGGAGTGGCTCAGCAGCAGCACCAGTCGCAGTGGTCGCCGTGGCACCAGGAGGAATCATCATCGTCGCAGCAGCAGGTGCTGCTGCCGGCAGCAGGAGAAGCAGCAGTGATTGCAGTCGTCGCAGTCGTCGCAGCAGATGGAGACATAGAACAAGTGGTTTACAGGTGATGAGGGGCAGGAACATGATGAGGATCGCGAGGATGCGGAGGATGACGAGAATGCTGAGGGTGATGGCGAAGATGGCGAGGATGGCGATGACGAGGATGATGAGGATGATGAATGATGCTGGCGATGATGCTGGTGATGATGATGACGATGATGATCATCATCATGATGATGCTGCGGCTGATGACGATGATGGTGATGATGATGCGATCCAGTTTGAGGAGTGAGCATGGCTGTTATCACTGCTACCGTGCATTCAAAAGTGTTCGTGACAACACGAGAAATTAATGAGGCTTTGGGAAGAAAAAACAAGTCTGACTACAAACATGTGAAGACGACAATGGTGATGGTGATGAAGAAGACAACAAAAACAACAACATGCCAAGAACATGCGATGATGATATGGGGTATTATGATGGAGGATGGTGATTTTCATGATGCTGATGAGGATGAAGAAGAAGAAGGCGACGATGACCGGATCTTTCGGGTGACGGCCGCAGGGATTACCGGCCACGATGTTTGATGTTAGTATATACTAGTCAATGCTAGCTGCTAGGGTTTCCGACCCAGTCTACGACACAAGAAGCGGAAAAGCAAGGCAGCAAACACTTCCAACTGACACCAAAATCCTACGAAACTGTGAATAGGGTCACAGGATCCGAGAGGCGAAGGCTGGACACACGAAACCGAGCTGCTGAAACTGACTCCACCGCGACGTCCATTCCGGGTAGCAAGTCCTGTCCAGATTGCCGTGGTAGTGAGAGTGGTTTGGGGTTTCGGTGTTGGGGTTTAGGGTTTAGAAGTTTTAGTGGTAAGGTTTCTACACGGTCAGGCTCGAGATGATCATGGCCATGATTATTATCGGGATGATGTCGACTGGGCTCGATTCTTCTGCCAGTGGATAAACCGGCAACTACACATCGTTGATGCGACTATTCGACTGCTGCTGACGCAAGCACTATTGATACTGCGAATGTAGAAGCCTAATCCATATTATCTCTGACGGCTCCCTGTTGAGATTGTACTACAATATCACCAAACCCTATTCTAGATATTAATCCCCCCATGTTGCTGCTACGACTGCTCTCGCTGCAGTTTTAGGCCTCCGCTGTTACGATCTTTGCTCCTGCAAGATCTGCTTCCTGTTCGATTTTGAGCGTAGGGTTTCTTTTCAGTTTTGGTCGAGAGTAGACCTCAATCCCTTCCTGGTCGACGTTGCTTTCGCGTGCAATGGCAGGCTGTAGGAGTAGTTGAGGCTGGGAGGTTGAACCCTAAACCTCTCTTCTTCAACAACCGGTCCCTAAAAAGTCAAAGTTTGAAAGATAGAGCTAATATATAAGGCCAAAAGGTTAAAGTTCCCCCCGTTCACTATCTAAGAAACCCTACAGTAAACCCTGAACCCCTAAACCCCTAAACCCTACTTTGGGAAGCAGTGGAGTTCGCGTTTGAGGCTTCTTACGTCCTGCAGTGTTGACCTGGAGGCTTGGGTCTTGAGTTAAGAGTAGCGTTTCGTTCAGTTGGGGCTCGAGTTTCGCATTTAGGGTTTCGGGTTTAGCGGGAATCATCATCAGTGTACAGGAAACGGCACTACTAGTTCTTGATACCATAGACCCCAAACCCTGAACCCGGAACCCCAAACCCTAAACCCTAAACCCCCATCCTTTATCGAAACTCTTCCCGGAGCCCAGCCCTTCTTCAACGCTCAAAACCTGCCTCGGGCAACTGCAGCCGGAAGCGTTCCGTGCCGGTAAGTCCGAGTGCTCCAGCACCCGGGAAGACCAAGGGCAGCACGCCCATGCCTGCAACTTCTGAGCCGAGAAACCCTATATTCAAAGGGGAAAAGGAGGGACCCTTAACGGGGACCCTCCCCTATAATGGGCTTTATAATGGGTGTATAATGGCTATATTCTGGGACCTAAACCCTAAACCCGAATACCTAAAACCACCCCAAACCCGAAAATCTAAAACCTAAACCCTAAACCCGAAAATCTAAAACCTAAACCCTCAACATCCAAACGCCATCTGGGTTAGGGTTCAGGGCTTGGGGGGCTCAGGTTTCAGTTTAATGGTTCCTTTCTTGGGACTGAAAGTTCTGCAAGGGTCTCGGGTTTGGGGTTGCTGCATGAAACTTCTGGGTTCTAGTTTAAGGGTTTAGGGGTGTTATTTGCAGGAGTAGCAGCAGCTGTCAGTTGGAGAGGTGCCCGTGGCAGTAGTATACTATTAATACTAGTCGTCGTCACCCTCCGGGTCCCGTGGAGGTTGTGGCTTGGGGTCTTGATTGATGGAAGTGTGGTCCTGAAGGGCCGTCCAAATATGGCGGCATAAAAGCAGGATAAAGGAGTGATGATTCGCTTCGGAAGAGTTGCATACTGACGTCTTTAGCTGTTAAACCTTAACGCAGAAGCATCCTGAACCCTGTGTTCAGTCAAGGATTCCGCAGGGCTTCTCCTGGCCTCTTGCCCTGTCTAGCCCGACTCCTTAAGCCCCGTCCGACTCTCCAAACGCTGCAACTCAAACACAAGGCCAAGCCTTGACCCTGAATAATAGTGGTAACCTTATAGTCTTATGGTATAGTACCCTTCTAGATCTAGGGCCCTAAGTAATATACCTTACAAGGGGTTACTACAACATAGGATAAAGTAAAAATGAAAGAACATGCGTGCGATGGAACTATGTGTTCACGGTCACACATCTCACTTTGCGGCTTTCTGTCTTGTCAACCCAAAGACCCAAAACCCTAAGAGTCTAAGCCTTATCCGGTATAGGGCTATTTCAAATTAACCATAAACCCTAAACCCCAAAACCTAAACACAATAAGCGGCCTGCTAGGTTGGCCCGGTGGATTCGCTCGAAAGACTCGGCTAGCACGGCGCGGACACCGAGGAGGGCCGTTCCCTGAAGAACGTTCCATGGCTTATGGCATCGGGTTTTAGGAGCTAGGGTTGCGGGTTTATAGGGTTCCTTTAAAGGGACCCATAAGGGTTTTATAAGGGAGCTACAGGGTTTAGGGCTGCAAGGGTTTAGGGGTTTAGGGTTAGGGTTTTACAGGGTTTGAGTTTTGGGTTAGGGAATCAGGGTTTGGTTTAGGGTTTAGGGTTAGGGTTCATGGCTCTGGGCTCTAAAAGTGAGGCTTTTGGGTGTGGGGCCTCGTGAGTTCGAATTCTTGTCAAGGAAATGACGTGCTTGAAGGTTTCAGGATTGAAAGCTTGGTGGCATGGAGTACTCCCTAAACCCTAGAACCTTAGAACCCCGCGACCCTGGAACCCAAGATCAAAACTAAGCCCTAAGCCCTGAAACCCTGAATCCGAAAACCCCCGAAACCCCAAACCCTAAACCCTAAACCCTAAACCCTAAACCCGAAACCCCAAATTCTTCCTATGCCTTGGCAGCCCAATCTCGCGAGGAGCCTGTGCCATACTCGGACCTCTGGGGTTACTTGGAGGAGCAGGGGACTTAGTAAGGGTTCTTAAAGGGCTCCTTAAACGGATCTATATAGGGTTCATTAAAGGGATCTATGGGGTTTAGGGTTTAGGGTCTAGGGTCTACTTGGATGATCAGGGGACTTAGTAAGTTAGGTTATAAGTCTCTTAATTGGGCTTATAATAAATTACAAGCATAGTCCCCATACTTATAACCCGAGGTACTGAGTCCCATGATACTTTAAGTAGTGCTTTGGGGTTTTAGGGTTTAAGGTTTAGGCCGATAATGAGAATAGGGTTCGTTCAAGAAGGGTGCTAAGGCACTAAGGGTTGCTGCAAGGGTAATTATAGAGGTTTCATAGAGTCCTGAAATCATGTGTGGTCAGAACTGAAGTATGGTTGATCGTTGCAGAGCGTGGTGTTGGGCTAATACAGGGAGCCTGAATGAGGCAGATCTGGCTCTGGGCTAACATAGGGGGACTATAGTGACTATAGGGGCCTGAATCGCTGAAGTGGGATTTTGGGTCACACTGTCAAGCCTTTGCTGGAGAGGTTGAAAATTTCTTCGGGTCAGGTTTGTTAGTTTGTTAGGTGCTGAGGCTATTTCGGGGCTCGGGCCGTAACTGTGCAAAAGCTGGATATCTTTGGCAACAACACGTGGTTTGCAATGGAAAGCCGGCTCGTCTTGGCCTGGCGATTGAAAAACAGTAGCTATCGGCGATGCAGCGTCAGAAGGATCCCGGAAAGAAGACAGAGATAGCTCGATGTTTTACAAAATTAGGGGACCCCTCATATTGAGGCCCGAGTGGGCCCAAATAGTAGGACACACGTAAGAACAGTTTCCTGAAATCCTGTCCCTGCACGCACTCATGCGGCCAGGTACAACTCATGCAGTGAACACCGTAGCAGCACATTCAGCCTGGTCGCCCCGCAACAATGACGAGATCATAGCCGTCTTCTCGGTACCTGCAAATCATAGGAGAGATACATCAAATATGGAAACAACGCTATTATGGATAATCCAGCAAGTTTCGAAACTTAGGACACATGAAACCCGGCCTTTCTGCTGCATCGAACGGATGCAGCACTTCTCCGCTTGGCACCTTTGAGGTGTCAGAGTTTAAGGGACTGATTAGGGCTCTTGACTGTACCACAACGAGAGCTCGATGAGAATTATTGGTACTGCCGCCGTTGCGGCTGCTGCTACTACCGCCAACGGCGTTACTATACCAGACCACTATTTTCTTTCCACTCAGTGGCAATCCAGTTCCAATCAATGTCCTGCACATGGACAGCGCATGGAGATAAAAGATACCCCTGTCCCTCGCTCCGCCCTAAGACTCTACAGGACACGTGACCTCAATGCACAGCTGGTGTTTTTGTCTCGGCGAACTGTGCCACTCTGCCAGGATCCATCATGCAAAGCAGACCGATGCTTCCAGCCCCCATAAGCTGCTGAACCCCACCGCAAACCCCTTAACCCCAAACCCTAAACCCCCAAACCCCCAAACCCCAAACCTAAAACCCTAAACCCCCAAACCCCAAACCTTAAACCCCTAAACCCCCAAACCCCAAACCCTAAAGCCCTAAACCCCGAAACCCTCAAACCCCTAAATCCTAAAACCCCTACACCGGCACTCTGACATCTGGCGAACTCCAAGGCACATGCAGAGCCCAAGGGCCCGTGCGGTCGACCGCCTGACTCGAGGTTTCCGAGAATGCGCTTCTGCTTCAAAGGTTGTTTAGGGCTTAGGGTTCAGGGTTTAGGGTTTATTGTATAAGGCTTACGGTTTAGGGTTCAGGGTTTAGGGTATAAGGCTTAGGGTTTAGGGTTCCGGGTTCAGGGTCTAGGGTTTAGAGTTTGGGGTTAAGGGTTGTGGCTTTGAGATGTGTGTTGTGCTTTTTGGGGCCCGCGGACTTTAGGGTTACTTGGCGTTTCAGGTTTTTCGGTGAGTTTCGGAGCTTGCGGCTTTGAGGTTTATTCAGGGTGCTAGGGCTGTAGCAGGGTTGTTTTTTGGAGCTCCCTTTAGCAGGGTTTAGGGTTTACGGCTAGAGGTTTGCCATCAAACCCGCAAACCCTAAACCACTAGACCCTAAGCCCCCCCAAAGCCCAAACCCTGAACCCCGAGCCATGGCATGAAGCTTTGGTGTTCTAGTGCTCAGAGGATCATGGGACTTAGTAAGTAGGTCATAATTGGGGCTATAAGTCCCCTAAGTGGGGTTATCCTAATTATAACCTACTTATAACCTTACTTACTAAGTCCCATGAGCCTTCAAGTGGAACTGCGCACGTCGAACCCGAACCGTCAATCCAAAGTGGCCAGCGAAGGGAAAAGGAGTGGGGATGCCGCCCATAAGTCTCCTCCACCCCTGTTCTAAAGGATCATAGGACTTAGTAACTTTAAGGGGCCCCTAAAAGGGCTCCTATAAGGGATCTATAGGGGTTTAAGGTACTTAAAGGATCATGGGACTTAGTAACTAGGGTTATAAATAAGGTAACTATACTTATAACTCCAATTAGGGGGCTTATAACCCCACTTACTAAGTCCCCTGATCCTCCAAGTAGATAGAACCTTACAGTGACCTTATAGCGCACTGATATAAGGTCAAGATTCGGGTCTCAGCTGTTGGCTTTGAGGTTTGAGGCCGTTGGGTTTGGGACGTGAGTTTGGGAAGCGGGCAAATGCTTCGAAGGATGAGGCCCTAAACCCCAATCGACGGACCGCGATGCCTAGGACAGGGCGTTTGGGCCTATTGGGGGTAAAGGGCCTTGGGGTTCGAGCATACTTCACAGAGAAGCCCAAATGATTACCAATGTTAATCCGTATGTATACTATACCATAGACAAAAACTCCTATTCTAATTTTGCAGGCTCTTATGTCTAAGCTTAGAAACGAAAAAGCCGCCTTGTTGACGATCCGCGGGTTGGAGAAGGCGCCGCGAACCATCACCGAGGCATTGCCTGGAGGTAGTGGTGAAGACTCCTGGGTTCCGAATTTCTATAGGGTTCCTTAAAAGAATCTACGGGGTTCCTTAAAGGAATCTATGGGCTTCCTTAAGGGGATCTATGGGGTTTAGGGTTTAGGGCTTGCTTGGAGGGGCAGGGGACTTAGTAAGCAGCTTATAAGTAGGGTTATAGTTGGTTACACGCCTTGTTTGGGGTCTGGCTGCGGGCTGCCAGATCATAGGGTTTAGGATTTAGGGTTTAGGGTCAAGATCGGGCTGAAGTCAAGCTGTAGGGTTCGGGGTCTCGAACCCTAATGCACTGAACCCGAAACCAGATCCTAAACCTGCGTCAGATGAGCCCACGTTCTAAACCCTCAGCTTGCCCTACATCCTATCCTAACCCCAGAACCCTGAAACAAAGAAAGCTTTGAAGGTGAGCTCAGGTATAAGTATCCTTCCTGTCTCTGTGCCTGCTTCGTGGATCCAAAGTGTACTTGATTGATCCTGCGACTTAGTAACAAGAGTCGGCAACTGTACGTACAAGTACTGATAACCACAACTGGGGCACTTATGTTCTACCTTACCAAATCCCATGATCCTCCAAGTACAACCTTCAAACCCTGAACCCTCTAGATCCCTCTAAGGAACCCTATAGCTACAGCTACTATAGCTCCCTTTAAGGGGCCCTTTAAGAACCCTTACTAAGTCCCTCCAAACTCTGAACCCTCACCTCCAAGGCCGCTGACGAATATAATCAGAATAGGCTTTTTGTAGTACGGTGCCCTAAAGACAAGTTTGTCCTCTATGTACTCTTGGCATTACCTTAAGGACCCGAAACTATGGGATTTATGGTAGATTCCTTATCATGGGTAATGCAGGATTTATATCAACCCTAAACCCTAAACCTTATAGATCCCTTAAAGGAAGCCCTTAAAGGTACCCTTATAGAGCCCTCTAAAGGAACCGTTGGACCCTTGGGGTTCAGGCCTCTGCATTCACCTCGAAAGCTCCCCAGGAGCTCCCAGAAGCCCTAAACCCCAAACCCGAAACAAACCCTCTAAACCCTGAAGGGATCCCTAAAGGGGTCTATAAGGGAGGGATCTAGAATAGGGTCCTATATAGGGGCCTTAGTAATTGAACATACTATTTTGGGGGTTCCTTCTTATAATGGGCCTCAAAACCCTATCCGACCCCAAAATCCCCAAACCTTAAACCCCTAAACCCCTGAAGACCTAAACGCCAAAATCCCCATACCCTTAACCCCTAAACCCTCGAACCCCTGAACCTTATAACCCTTCATCCCTCGGCCTAAAACCCCCAAAATCCCCAAACCTTTAACCCCTAAACCCCCGAACCCTAACCCTTCATCCCTCGGCCCCCTAAAGGACCCCTCTTAAAGGACCCCTTCAAGGACCCCTTAAAGGACTCCCTTAAAGGACCCCTTAAAGGACCCCTCAACCCTCGGCCCTTCGGCCCATGCATAAAAAGGCAACCCAGGGAGGCCTCGCCGGGCCCCGTAGGAGCCGACATCCTCCGGACAACTTTCAAGAGACTCCGATATAATTACGGAATACCTAGGGTTCCTTTAAGGGTTCCTTTAAGGGTTCCTTTAAGGGATCTTTGGGGTTTAGGGTTTAGGGGACTCCAATATCCCTTAATTAAGGAATATTCCTGAAATTATGGTAGGATCCTTGGTATGATTTAAGGAATATTCCTTAAATTAAGGGATGTTGGAGTCTCTGGGTTTGAAAGCCCCAGCCACGGTTTAGGGGTTTAGGGAGCAGGGATCATGATGTTGGGTTTAGGGGCTTAGGGTTTAGGGGTTTAGGCTTTAGGGTTTAGGGCTTAAGGTTTAGGGGTTTAAGGGTTTAGGGGTTTAGGGTTTAGGGCTTAGGGTTTGGGGACAACTTTCCAGAGACTCCCTTAATTAAGGAAGACCTGTAGGGTTCCTTTAAGGGCTCCTTTAAGGGATCTTTGGGGTTTAGGGTTTAGGGGGCTCCAGTATCCCTTAATTGAGGAATATTCCTTAAAATATAGTACGGATCCTGCTATAATTTAAGGAAGATCCCCTAATTAAGGAAAAATTATAGTAGGATCCTTAATATGATTCAAGGAATATTCCTTAAATTATAGTAGGATCCTTATTTTGATTTGAGGAATAATCCCTAATCAAGGGATATTGGAGTCTCTGGCTTTGAAAGCACCAGCCACGGTTTAGGGTTTGGGTTTAGGGTTTAGGGTTTAGAGGTTTAGGGTTTAGGGTTTAGGGTTTGGGGTTCAGGGTTTGGGCCTTATGGTTTAGTGTTTATAGACCTTAGCGTTTAGAGTGCAGGGCTCAGAGTTAAGTCTTAGTTAGGGTTTATAACCTGTTTAAGCCTTAGTGTTTGGAGCTTACGGCTTAGAGCTTCGGGTTTAGAGTTTCGGCTTGTTTAGGGTTTATAAAGTATATAGGGCTTAGGCTTGAGGGTCGATGGTCCAGGGTTGCGAGTTTACCGCTTGAAGCTTCGGATTTAGAGTTAAGGCTGATGTAGAGCTTACTTGGAGGATCAGGGGACTTAGTAAGTCAGGTTATAAGTCCCCTAATTGAGGTTACAAGTACTTATAAGTATAGTTTCCTTATTTATAACCCTAGTTACTAACTCCCATGATTCTTTAAGTAGGTAATGCTTAGGTTACCCCAAATTAAAGCTTAAGGTCTGGAGTTTGGAGGCATTGGCCCAGAACTGAAGCAGCTGCTGAGGCTTCCGGAGCTGACAGGCTTTCGGTGGGTTTGAGGATTTAAGGTTTAGAGTTTAGCGTTTAGGGTTTAGGGCTTAGGGTTTAGAGTTTCGGGTTCAGGGATTATAGGATTTAGAGTTTATAGGGTCTAGGGGGGTTCAAGGCTTCTTGCGTTTGAGGGGTTGACTCTGCAGGTCCGTGTCGTGGTGGCAGCAGCCGCCACAGGGGCGACTCATGCAGGCAATAGCTCTCGTCAAAAATCCTGGTACTCCAAGCTCTAGGGTTATAAATAAGGTATCTATACTTATAATTACTTGTAACCCCAATTAGGGGACTTATAACCTTACTTACTAAGTCCCCTGATCCTCCAAGTATGGTGCCAAACCCCGAAGCGCCAAACGCCTAGACCCTTAAACCCTAAACCGGTTGCAGTCGCAGTGATTGCGACGGCAGGCGGTGACCATCAGACAATGCAGTTTACGTTTTATACTACAAGTAGTAATCACCAATCTCTGTTTTAGTGTGTCATATAAGTTAAACCGAACTATGTTATACTTTTCCAGTAGTAATACTTGATTACATTTCACATAGTAGTTTTCATTGGAAGAAGCATTCGTGTAGCTCAGCTTAACAGAAGGCACCCTTTCCCTCAATAAAAGCACCCCATCCCTTAAAAGGTGGTACCATTGCTTCAAGGAAGGCAACCCTGTCCCTACCTTCTTCTCCACCCCAGCTGCCCGCAAGAAGTCCGAGGCTGGGCCATCCTCGGATTGGTCAGGACTTCGGTTGAAGAATTACTTAAAAGATGATGGGACTTAGTAACTAGAGTTACAAAAAAGGTAACTATACTTATTGTATAATTACTCATAACCCCAATTAGGGTACTTATAACCTTGCTTACTAAGCCCCCTGATCTTCCAAGTAGGGTTACAGCTTTAGATTGAGGGTTTGGGGTTTGGGGGTCTGTTGCTTCCGGCTTTGTGGCTTCAGCTCCAAAGCTCAAGGTTCTCTCGGGCTGGCCACTTGTTTTTTGGGCGTCTCCTGCCCGTCCTGCCAATCACAGCCATTCTTTGAAAGCGCTTAGCTTCTGCAAAATAGTCTGCATGCCCAGAGCTCTGGTAGTATGTCTGAGGCTGTTGCAGCGTGTCTCATTACACGTCGTGGGCTGTCTGCCATACTACGACTAAAGTGACTATCATGTCCACCAAGTTGTTCCATGAGGGTTTCGTGCTCAAAACATCAGCTACACGAGCATTCGTGCTTCCACAGGCGTTCCGGCATACTGTGGCTCTTCCCTTCAGGCACCAGCATATGTTTCAAGAGCCAAAAAGACTCTAAACTCTACACCGTACTGCTGAGTAAATGTGTGTTCTCTGTTGTGAAAGCCTTACGAGGTGCTGCGGAGGCTTGGGCTCGCTCCTTTGTGCTTCTACGGTTGATGATATAAACCCTGCATGACCTTAAGGACCCTAAACTATGGGAATTATGGTATATTCCTTATTATGGGGAATGCAGGATTTATATCATCAACAGTAGCACCAGCAGTTTCCACTTTTGCCACACCATACGTAACAGCCTTTGGACTTGGGGCAGTTTGAGGATGGGGATGGTTTGATTGTGCGGTTCACGGTTTTATCCACATCCGGAATGTACGGCAGGGCTTTGTGGCCTCCCGGTGCCAAGTAACCGACATCCCCTTTCAGCCCTAATATCCGGGGCCTTTATAATCACAATAGGGTGTAGGGGACCCATAATACTACAACTAGACTATAGGGAACCCCCAAAATAGTATAGGTAACTATGAAGCACCAGCACTGCGAACCAGCTTCCCGGATCGCACCATTGAAGCAGATGTGATCTGGCCAGGTGCTATGAGGGAGTTTCCGGAACTAGGGGACCCTAATATGGTAACCTAAATAGTAGGATTCTGATTATGCGGGCCCCAAAATAAGGGACTCCTATTTTCGGAAACTCCCATGAGGTGGTTGAGGCCGGCTTGATCCTATCGTTCCGTGCAATGCCGTTGCTTTTTGCATTCATCTCTGTTTCTCACTCATACTGCAGTTCCCGTTGTGACTGGCTAAAGTTCAGCGTGATGACTATGATCGAGATCGTGGTGATCAGCAGTATGCTCCTGATGAAAGCGAGCGTGAGCACGGTGGCGACGACGCTGATGATGATTCTGCTGGTGGCGGCGGCGTGATGGTTGCCGTGGTGAGGAGGAAGAGACGAGGAGGGCGGTGACGACGACAAGGAGGAGAATGATGATGATGATGAAATAGACGAAGATCTGATCTGTGCATGGTTCGATGGAAACGGATTGGTTGAAGGCCCACCGTTCGTTTCAGTTTCTCATCTTGCGGGGACGAACTATTGCGCAAGGAATGCATACAGGAATCCCTAAACCCTAAACCAAATTCCCTAAACAGACATGAGTCTGATGGGTGTCAGCCTCGTACTGGCTTTAGTAATGCTGATACAGTAGTCATAGTATTTTTAAGTAGAGCTTCTGCGTTTGGGGGATTCGCGAGTAAGAGCTCGAGGCTTGGATCAAGCCCGTCTTGGCGTCGATTCGGGTGTGGGGATTGTTTGGGGCGGGGCCTAGACAGCTAATGCCCTGAACCCTAAACCTTATAGGAACCCTATAGGAACCCTACGCCCTCAACCCTTATAGGAACCCTAAACCCTAAACCCCTGAACCCCATGTGGGAACCCTCAGGGCCTGTCGTCACCGAGTCGCCCAGTAACATGAGGCAGTAAGCATCCCGGATGGGGCCTGACTACAGGAGGGAAAGGGGCTGAAAAACTAGAGACAGAAGGGAAACCGTTTGGTAGGATAGTTGTGGCAACGATGCAACGATGGAACGACAATGACATTGCTCGCGGTCATACTCAAACTCAAAGTCTATTGGAGCGGAACATGATCGCGTTGCATCCAGGTGCAATCGTTGCGCAATCGTTGTGGCGAATCCTCTCGCTGTATCTTCGTGGGCACCGGCATCCACAAGCTCACGGCATATGAAGATATATGTGCATCCACGTCGCTACCGCTAGTACTGTCATGTGTTTTTTGCTCAGCGAAACAGTACAAAGGATGTTCCTGAATCCTCTCTGACAAGAAGAGGAAGGATAAGTGCCTCCATGCCCTACGGGAGCCAGCCAACCCTAAACCCTCAAACCAGGGGCCCGCGACCAGCAAGGAGAAGCCCCGAACAGAGAAAAAAACCAACAAAAGCCCTACGCCCCAAACTCGAGAGCCCGACATCCAACCCCAACAGGCATGGTTCCCTTTACAGTAGAAGCCAGAAAGTTGGAATATCATTATCGTAACCCTTTAAGGTAAATTATAGGGGATCCTACCATGAAACCATATTCCAACATACTGGAGTTCCCTTTAGGCTTTTTGGCTTTTATCCAAGTGCAGGGTTTAGGGTTTAGAGCTAAGGGTTTAGAGGTTGGGAGCATCTATGGTCTGTCGGGGGATAGGTGTTGGGTTACGTTCGCAGCAACAACATGCACTTGCAATGATGTTGGAAGCAGCCTTCCCACCCAAGATTCCATGCACAAACCATCTGAATCACGGTTTAGGCTGTACGGTTTTGCTTTAAGCTCAGATTTCCTTACAGTTTAGGGCTTAAGGTTCAGGGTTTAGGGGCTGCTAGCTTGTTCTTCAACCTCTAAATATCAGCTTTGCGCACAGGCGCCTACTGCGAACCTTTCATTGCAAGTACTACCGTACGACCGAAGAACAATGTGGCAACGTGTTGAAGCTTTGATGTTTCGTTGGTGGCTGGCCATCACCAGCACTGACTGAGCAGGAGCGGCATAACGTAGGAGCTTCAAGAATTAGAATATTTTGGGCTCCTTCTTCGTATACTGATAGTAAGGAACTCTAAGGAAGAGTATTGGAAACATTTTGGGCTTGTATATGGGTGCTTGTCAAGATTATGGTCCTTTTTTGGGGTCCCTCATATAATACTGACTCCATTATTCAGGGCACTCTAAAAGGGGCCATAATTTCATAATAAGAAAATGTATATATAGTATCAGCCGGACCTGCCGGACGTTGAAAGAACGGCGGCGACGCGATGAATGTGTTCCTCGAGGAGGGGGAGGAGGTCGCTTCGGGAGATGCTTTGTCAGGCCAAAACTGTGTGACCGGCTCCTTAGGGGTTTAGGGTTTCGGGTTTAGGGTTTAGGGATTCGGGTTTAGGGTTTAGGAATTCGGGTTTAGGGCTTAAGGATTAGGGTTTAGGGTTTAGGGGTTCTTTGAGGCACATTGCTCCCAGATAAAAACAAAAGGAAGGGGCCGCGATCCTGTGACTGGTGGAACGAGTAGCGGAGTAGCGCATGACTCGGAGGTGCCCCGCTTTAAGTGCCCTTGGAACCATAATGAATACACGAGTTTGACTAGCCCCTTGGAGGTTTAAGAATAGTTCCGAAGAACACTAAAGTACAAACCTTGCCTTCTCAGCGCACTCAGTCATCAAAGTCTCAAGGCGTAACTGAAGGCCAGCCAACCCTAAACCCGCGTGTGGATCCGAAAACCTACTGCTTCAAGGGTTAGGCCCTTTTACTCAGGGGTCAGAACCCACTGTTTTGGAGGGTTTGGGTTCTACAGGTAAGCCCTGAAACGAAGATGACGTGGAGATCAAGGAGCCCTGACCCTCGACGGTTTCTACGCAGGAACCACTGTCCAGTGTATTGAAAAACGCAAAAAAAAGTAGGACACATGAAAGTATCTGCACGGTACGCTGTCGCTGCCCGTCGTATACTTTCCGACCTACACAAAACCTTCGACGAGCCTTCTTTGGCAATCATCTGTGGCTTAGGGTACCTGTTGCCATCAACAAGCAATGCTGTCGGGCTTAGGGTTCAGGGGTTCGGGGGTTTAGGGGTTGGGCGCGAACACTCCAGGACAGTTTCGGCGATGAGGGCGGCTCCGAAATATCTGAGCTTGCAAGGAAAGAAACAACAGTGGTGTCGTGCCTCTCACTATGTGCAGATGTTGGGCTGCACAACAGCCCTCAGGCCCCTCTCAAAGAAGGCAAAGCCCCACAACCCGGACGAGGAGCTTGGGGTCCCAGGGATAGGTCACCTGGGCAAACGTCCCAACCGTCCAAACGATGGTGAGGTTGCAGGGATGAGTAGGGTTTTAGAGCCATACAACCCAAGCTCAGCTTTCTGGTACTTGAGGCACTGGGCCAGTGATGAACTTTGGGCTTCCGAAACAAGCCCTACGGCCTAAACCTTGCTGACTTGGGGGATCTTTCTTCAGACGAGTTCCTGAGGGTTTCGGGCATCAGATACGACCCTTGACAGTTAGAGTAGGGATGCAGGGGTATATAGTATCACTATATAGCAATCATACAAGCAAACTGTTGGTAATTTTCCCCCTATCCCAGGGAGTGGGGCTCAGAAGCGGAGGGGTGCATTCGGAAGCTACGGTGCGTGAGACAAGGAAGTCGGCCACATGGGATCGCTCTAGGGTCGGTGGAACAGGAATATCCTGTGTTGACTCATAGCTGCCTTTTGTCCTGAGCCCTTCATCCTGAAAGGGGGCTGTGATAGTTAGAATAGGGTTTTTGGGTACAATATACTAAATTATAATCAGGAACCCCTAGGGAATTATTAAGGCCCCTGCATTACGCCTGTTCTCTGAGAGTTCTGGCACGCAAAGGAAGACTCCCCTCGGTAACCCGGCCACTACAAACCCGTAAACCCTAAACTGCAACATATAGAACTACCTTGTGGTTTTGGAGCATATGGGAGCATGCTTTACGACACAAAACCTTCAAAAACCTTGGTAGCTATTCAGGCTTCTATATGAGACCCGCAAGGTGTTCGGATTCAAGGTCCGGGGTCTGCAGGTCATAGTTTCGGGTTTTAAGCACAGACTCCAGGAGTGCAGAATGTCTGGTTTCGGTGGGTTTGGCGGTTTGGGACTTTTGCGGCCTCTGGGGGTTTCAGCCCAGGGCCACTAAAGCCTAAAGCCCGACGCCCACACACAGGCTAACCCCTTAAAGAGCCCTAAAACCCTAAACTCCTAAACCCCTAAACCCTCAACCCCAAACCCTAGACCCTGAACCCTGAACCCTAAACACTAAACCCTGAACCCTTAACCCTAAACTCTCCGGCACGTCTCTCTAACGCCTTGAAGCGTTAGAGGAGTGACCCCGACTGGTATACCACTTTGTACGGTGTCACGTTGGACATTCGTCACGGGTGTGCAATACTACGTACCGTATAGTTTCCAGTGCGTGCCATCGCTAGTACTTCGTGGCCGAGGACGACAGGACGCTTGTTCCGAATTCGCCCGAGAGAATGTCGGACACCATGTATATGACCGACATTCTATATAATTATATATATATATACGATTTTTATGTATATCACAATATCATTGTATATATATATATATATCCCTACATCCCTAAAACCTGGGGTCACGGGTACTTCGTATCGAAACTGGGGTTCTGGGATTTGGGGTTCTAATCGTGATTAAGAAGAGCCGGGCATCCGAAACCGAATGTTTCCATGTCGAATCTGCCTGTTTCGCGTCGAAACATCGGAGTTTGGGTTGGGACATGCACAGCGACCATGGGATTTTGAATTTGGGATTGTAATCGTGAATAAGAGCTGAGCATCCGAAGCCGACGGAGCGTTTAGGGATTGAAAGGCAGTTAAGAGCAGCCACACGAAAAGAAAGGGAGGGACCTCGAGATTCGCACCTGGCGTACATTAAAACGCGCATTTTATGAAAAGAATTTATCATCCCAAATCCAGCTCTCAATTTCCAGAAAATGCAGCCACGTCGGGTCCGCCGTTTCATAACGAAACATCGGAATCTGGGTTCGGACACGCACACCGACACTGGGATTCTGGGATTTGAGATTCTGATCGTGACTAAGAGCCAGCCACGTCGAATCCGAAACCGAATATTTCCATGTCGAATCCGCCTGTTTCGCATCAAAACGTCGGAGTCTGGGTCCGGACATGTACAGCGAAAATGGATTTGAGGATTTGGGATTCTAATCGTGACTAGGAGCTGGACATCCGAAGCCGCCGGAGAGTTTAGGGATTGAAAGCACGAAAAGAAAGGGAGGGACCTCGAGATTCGCACCTGGCGTACATTAAAACGCGCATTTTATGAAAAGAATTTATCATGCCAAATCCAGCTCTCAATTTCCAGAAAATGCAGCCACGTCGGGTCCGCCGTTTCATAACGAAACATCGGAATCTGGGTTCGGACACGCACACCGACACTGGGATTCTGGGATTTGAGATTCTGATCGTGACTAAGAGCCAGCCACGTCGAATCCGAAACCGAATATTTCCATGTCGAATCCGCCTGTTTCGCATCAAAACGTCGGAGTCTGGGTCCGGACATGTACAGCGAAAATGGATTTGAGGATTTGGGATTCTAATCGTGACTAGGAGCTGGACATCCGAAGCCGCCGGAGAGTTTAGGGATTGAAAGCACGAAAAGAAAGAGGAGGACCTCGAGATTCGCCCTTCGCTACATTAAAATGCACATTTAACGAAAAGAATTTATCATTCAAAAACCAGCTTTCAATTTCCAGCAAATACAGCCACGTCGGGTCCGCCGTTTCATAACGGAACATCGGAATCTGGGTTCGGACATGCACACCGACACTGGGATTCTGGGATTTGAGATTCTGATCGTGGCTAAGAACCGGGCATCCGAAGCCGACTGAGAGTTTAAGGCATGAAACTATTCGGGTTCAGGAACCGGCAGTTTTCACACTCAAACTGGATTTTGGGATTCTAATTTCGATTTCGACATGAAACTGTTCGGGTTCGGGATCCAGCGATTTTCGCACCGAAACTGGATTTTGGGATTGCATTTTCGATTTCGACACGAAACTGTTCGGGTTTGGGATCCTGCGATTTTCGCATCGAAGCTGGATATTGGGATTTGGGTTCCGAAATCCTATTCCGACATCCTAATCTTTAAAGTGTTAGCACCCTTAACGGGGGAGGGGGGCCCAGTCTATCTGAATTGCACATTTACGGAAAGAATTTTTCTTTCCGAATTCATCTCTCAATTTCTCAAAAATACAGCACGAAATCAGTCCGAAATCCTATCCCGAAATCCCGAGTGCTAAAACCTTGAGTGCTCGGGTTTAGGATCCGGTGGTTTCCGCACCAAAACTGGATTTTGGGATTTGGGTTCCGAAATCCTATTCCGAAATCCTACTCCGAGATTCTAATCTCCAAGATTCGGGCAGACAAATGGGGGGGAGGCCCAGGATCGGACACCTGTCTGCTCCAATTGCGCACAAATGTACATGTCAAAACCATTGCAGCGGAATATGGCTTTAGCAGGGAGCAAGATGTACTGCTGTAACGAGTCGCGGCTTTTGTGCGCGGGGCCTGCGGCCGCGCCGCGCATCCAAGACTGAAGTAATCTAATGACGTCGGCTATCGAACTGATGCTATGTATGATCTCAATCCGTTTTTGGCGTGGCCTAACCACTCGGCGACAAAGTGCAGCTGCACCCTCAGGCAACTCGCCTCGGCTCAGCGCTGCTGCCACCTGAAGTTGGCCCGCCTCGGTGGCCATGGCAGCCACGTGGGCGCGCACTGTGTTGGCGGCGTGGTGCAGCTCCTTTTCCGCCCGCGAGTTAAGGACGAATCCATAGGCATCGCGCGGTAGAGACCGGAGGCGGTCGATGTCTCTTGCGCAAAGAACCGCGGTGAACAAGCAATTCCCATCCGGTGGGACGTTGAGCTGTTCTAGCGGCGCCATGGCGACGCTGCCGGCCCTCGGCCAGACGGCCCAGTGGGACTCCTTGTGCCAGTGTCGCCCATCCGCGACATGAGGACCTTAGCCGAATTCATGTGACATGCCCCTCCCTACTCGACGACGTCGTTGGCCGATGCGAACTCCCTCGTGCTCGCGCGATAGTTTACTTTGTTTCGGAGAAGGAACCCCGTGCTTGCGCCGATGTTGTGGCCGCTGAGAGACGAAGCACAGTTTCAAGTTTCGAAGATGAGTTTTTACGCATGAGCATCCCCTCGCCTTACTTGTGTCACACTTTGCATTGTAGTCATATCAAGGGAACGCGAATCGTGCGACCATCTCCTTCAAGTGCTCGAGAGAAAAAGAGGCTCGAACCCGGTTGATTCATTCGAGGCGATGCCCTCGTTTCGCACATCTTGCTTGGGATCAAGAGTGCTGGACGACTGGGGAGATTGCGGGCTGAGTGTCTGTGAACCCTGGGCTTCCCCGCGTCGATGTAGACGGTCCGGCAAGGGAGGACCTGAGTGGAACCCGCATGACACGACAGCTGTTGCTTCGATTTCCGTGTCGTGCTGCACTGACTTCTCGCCGATGGCGTTAACTGATGAAAGGCTCCAGCCGAGTCGACTGGTCCAAAACCGTGCCCTCATTTGCTTACTTCCAGCCTCGGATCGCGAATGTACGAAGGCAATGCGCTCCCGCAGCACAGCGTTCGATCCCTCGCTTCTGTGAGGTTTAGGGGCGAACTCTTGAACCCTCGCGGTTCGTCGGCATGCCGACCTACTCCAATCGGTGCCGAGAAGTTGGAACTAGCAGACGACATCCAGCCTCATCGTCCGGGTCCGGATGTGGCTCGGCTGCCGCCTGTCGGATGAGGCTTGAAATGCCTATCGGAAGTGCCCGGAACCGGACCAACTGCAGCCCGACGCTGTTAGCTCTCGCAGTTTTGCGGGCTCCAGCCACCCTACGAGCCTCCATCGCCTGGCGGGCCTGTGATGGTGCTAGTCTGGATGGAGCTGAGCATGCAAACCCGTTCTTGAGTTTTGCGGTCTGCCGCCGCGCGCGCCTCCCCGCGCGGTCATGCGGGCCGTGCCTGCGGCGATGCACTGTGGCTGCGGCCGAGCAAACTCGTCCTCGCCTGCGAGGAGCTTGGCTTGCATCCCATGGCCCATGGCGGCCGCGGCACCGTCTCGCCACGCTGATGTGACGCTGTTGCCCGAACTGAGCGCCGCACATTGTTGGCGGCTCTTCGGACGCGAGTGCAACAGGTCTTGAACCGATGGCTCTGGGTCAGACGACGTGTTGCCGCTGACATTTTGCATGCCCGACGGTGAGATCCAATCACATCGGAAGGTCCGCGAAAACGTGATCGGGGCTTCTCGCGTTTCCAATACGGCATCTGTCATCTTTTGTGACCTGGCGCAGCTGCTGCGTAGGTTAAACCTTAAACCACGTTGGGTTTGTGAATCGATTCTGTTCCTACACAATAGAATTTGGAGCAAATTTGGTTGTTAGTGCATGGACGCTTACTGAGTGACTGTCGTCATGAATCTAAATATTGACCCACCCTGGAACACTACTTACAATCGGTCAAAAAATCCATTTGGTGTAGGTGCCAGTAACGCGCGCCAGTGCGCGCGCGCATTGAGCCGGAGCCGAGGCCGGTCTTGAGGACCATCTTTCCGAGCCAGCCTTGGCTACTGGGCTAGCCCTGCTTATAGCGCTTTAATAAAGACGTCGCCAAGGCATCGTCGTAAGTTCACTCGAAGTGCATTTTTAATGGAAATGTCCATGTAAAATGCGTTTCGCAACTATGCAAAACAACTACCATCGTCGGTAGAGAGTTCGGTTATTCCGTTTTTTAGCTTCGAAAAAAGTCGACAAGTCGCGAGCAGAAGACTGCACTCTTGCTGTTTAGCTTCTTTTGGACTAGTTTTGAGTTCCCCCTACGTAGTTTTGCAAGGCCCGTACGCTTAAACTCATTAGAAAACGTGAGAACGTCAGGAACTTGGCACAAACGGCCGAAAACGCTTCGAAGTCAACTTTGGTACTTATGATTTTTAGTTCTTGGCTTTCCTGCTGGCTAGTTCCAGTATTTTCTTATAGAGTTTGACATAATCTATCTGCGGAATTGCTTATCGAAGCTTGAAAAGGCTAGTAAGTGTTCCAAAACCTCGTGTTTTGAACATAAGGTGGAGACGATGACGTCGAGCAGAAGATTCTACTCTAAATTTGAAGGTTCCCGCTGGCTGAAACTAAGTTCGTCTCGTGAAGACTGAATCATCTCGTAAGCGAAAGCGCTTAGCGAAGCTTTCGAAGTCGACCAACTTCAAAACGAGTGATAAAACCATTCAAGAAAACGGCTTCAAAACAGTTTGTTAGTTTTCTTCGAATCTGCAAAGGCTTTAACATACTTTTGACCGCATTTTTGAGCAGGAATTTAACTCATGAATCCTTGGGAATATATCGGGCAGCTCGCAACGAACCTTAACTTGACTTGCGAGCTACTTTTCAAAGTTCTGACTTCCGAACCCAAACCCTACAAGTTAAGGATTTCAGATTCTAGAAATATTTTTCTTTTTTTTAAGCTTTGCCGACCAGTCAGTGATACTAATGGGATCAAATGATATAGGCAGATATGGTCGGGAAGCTTAAAGGACGAAAAAAATCGACCTTCTGAGTTCTAGGACTATCGATTTTTTAGCGTTTCTGTTAAAGTTATGTCGTTTTTGGGCCGCCCATTTGGCTAAGTTAGATCATTTCATGTCCTGGTATATGGTTAAGAACTCAAAATAAGGAAGTCAACTTTCTTCGACCTTTTGAGTTCTAGGATTGTGTAGTTTTTAAATGTTTCTGCTATAGTTCTATTGTTTTTGGGCCGCCTATGTGGCTTAGTTAGCTTATTTCATATAGAGTTATATGGTTAAGAGCTCGAAACACAGAAGTCAACTCTTCTCGACCTTCTGAGTTCTAGGACTTTGTATTTGTTTAGCTTAGGGTCTATTGTGCTTCTGCTACTTATGTAAGTTAGTGAAGTTCTTTTATATAAGGGGGCATGGTTAAGAACTGGAAACAAGGATGTTGTATGTGTGTTGGCCATCTGCTGTTGTTGCTTGCTGCACGAGTTATACAAGTTGGTTGGACAACACTAGGCATTTCAATGGAAATTTCCACTAAAAATGCACTTCGAGTGAACTTACGACGATGCCTCGGCGACTTCATTATTAAAGCGCTCTAAGCAGGGCCAGCCCAGTAGCCAAGGCTGGCTCGGAAAGATGGTCTTCAAGACCGGCCTCGGCTCCGGTTCAATGCGCACGCGCACTGGCGCGCACGTTAATGGTTGGACGGTCATCGCAAAGAAGCTTGACAGCTGTGGCTGCTATCGTTAAGCGATGTCGTGACTTCAGCCTCAGCTGTCATTGAAAGACATCACGCCAGACTGAACGGTCATTGCAAAGAAACTTGACAGCTGCGGTTGCTGTCGATACGCGATCTCGTGACCGCAGCCTGAGCTGTTTAAGGCAATGCGTGCTTTCTTTCAGTAGTTCTCTTCACCGATCCATCGGCAAGAAGAACACATCTTTTTCAGGGTTTAACGACTGTAAAGAAAATGCAACGTGGCCTTGCTGTTTTGCAGGTCGATAAACTCGACGCATAGCAGTCGACACAGTCTGATGTGGAAACATTGAAAAACATGAAATTGAATTTGAAAGCAGTCGGTGCTATCGTGAAGCGATGGCGTGACCGCAGCCTCAGCTGTCTGAAGCAGGGCGTTCTTTCTGTGGGTAAGTTTCCGGGCCAATCTATCGGCAACAACAGCACATGCTTTTTAGGGTTTAGCGTGTTCTGAAGGGTGAGCTTCTGGCGGTACCTGCTCTGACTTGCATCTCCTCAACTCTCGATCGACAACAGAGCGGGGACCACCAGAAGCTTACCCGGCAGAACACACTAAACCTTAAAAAACATGCGTTGTTCCTGCCGATACATCTTGCAAGAGACTTACCCACAGAAAGAACGCACGGCCTTACACAGGCTGCGGTCACGACATCGTTTCACGACAGCAATCACAGCCGTCAAATTCGATATCATGTCTTTCAATGTTTCCACATCGGACCGTGTCCACTGCTATGCAGCGAGTTTTCCGTTCTGAAAAGAGCAAGGCCTGCTTCTCTACAGTCGTTAAACCCTAAAAAAATTGTGTTGTGCTTGCCGATGGATCGGTCAAGAGAGATACTTAAAGAAGAAAGCATTGCCTGAAACAGCTGAGCCCGTGGTCACGACATCGCTTCACGATAGCAATCGCAGCTATCACATTCGATTTCATGTGTTTCAATGTTTCCACATCGAACTGTGTCCACTGCTTTGCATCGCCTTCGTCGACTTGCAAAACAAGAAGGCCACAGTGCTGTTTCTATACAGTCGTTAAACCCGAAAAAACTGTGTTGTTCTTGCCGATGGATCTTCAAGAGAGCTACTGAAAGAAAGAAACCACTGCCAACTGAAGCTGCGATACGCCATCGCCTTACGATAGCAACAACAGCTGTCAGATGTCATGACTTGCATCTCCTCAGCTCTCGATCACCAACAAAGCGGGGGCCGCCACAAGGTGACCCTTCAGAACACGCTAAATCCTAAAAACATTGTGTTGTTCCTGCCGATGGATCTCTCAAGAGAGCTACTAAAAGAAAGAAAGCACAGCCTGCAACAGCCGAGGCTGCGGTCACACCATCGCTTTACGATAGCAACCACAGCTGTCACATTTCATGTCTTCCAATGTTTCCATATCAGACTGTGTCCATTGCTATGCACATTGACAGCTGGCGACTTGCCATGGTCTCGCCGGCCGACATTCCCTGCGTATAACACAATTCATGACCTCCGCCATCTCTTCGATATTCGACGGCACCGACAATCAGAAAACTAGACCAGCCAAGTGTGTTCGGAATTACTGTCCTGTAGGAAGCCTCGGTGGCAGCCAACGGCCTAAAAGCATGCAGAAGGAAGGAGAAAATTCACATGAGTGGCGGCGATGACAACTCTCAGGTTGCTGCCGTAGAATCAAGATGCAGGGAAGAAGGCTTATTTTGTTTCACATGAAATCGCTTCATGGGTAGCCTGAAAAGGGCAAGATATTGACCTACCCTCGCAGCTTCCGAATGTCATATCCTACTCTTTGTCGAGAACAGAAGCTCTTGCTGATGATGAAGGATGAGTATCTTGACCTGCATCTCGCCTCTGCCAACCTTCTTCGTGAACCAAACAGATGGAGGCTGTTGCGGGCTTCGTGCGATCCGCTCGAGCCCGAAAGAAGAAGGAAAAGAAGAGAAAGGGTGGCTTGGCTTAATAATAATGCGGAGCGAAGAAAGGGCGGGAGCCGCCCGCAAGCGGCGCAGGAGGGCATCTTCTCGGAGCGCTCCGATCACGCAGGCCGCCTCGCGATTGCCCGAACGGCTGATGTGCGCAGGTGCCGCGCGCTCGCCCCGCGAGGTTTTCGTTTGGCACACCCTAAACCCTAAACCCCAAACCCTAAACCCTGAACCCACAGACCCTAAACCCTAAACCCTGAACCCACACACCCACCATCTGCCGGCAAAGCTTAGAAGAGCGACACTGCCAACGGCGCCTTCCAGAGCACTCCATGTGCTGGAAGCCTGTTCTCAACGGCGGCTTTCGTTGTACTGCCTGGTGCTTCGTAGGGAATGGGGGAATGGATCCCTATAGTAGTTCCCATGCAATCCCAAATAATGGTCTCCAGAATCTATTCCCCCCGATTCCGTACTGCGAACCAGACAGTTGTAGGGTCACCGAAAGAGGAGATGAGGAAAGAGTGGTGGCGGACGGAGAGGGGGGCATCTGTACAGGATTTATGCGCTTTTGCGTCAGGCATATTGCTGGATTTTGTGTAAAAGTTTCTCTCGGGTTCAGGGTTTGGGCATGGGCCTCACGACTGGGTCGTTTGTTCCTCTTGCTACCCGAAGAGACACCTTTTAGCTGCAGACATGTCGGTGCCCTAAGCCTAAGCCTGCACCCAAGAACTTAGACTCTACTTAAAGGATCATGGGGCTCCTTTAAAGGATGCTATAAGGGTTCCTTTAAAGGGATCTACAGGGCTTAGGGTTTAGGGTTTTACTTAAAGGATCATGGGACTTAGTAACTAGGGTTATAAATAAGGTAACTATACGTATTTTTGAATAAATACAACACCAAATAGGGGGACTTATAACCTTACTTGCTAAGTCCCATGATCCTCCAAGTACCCCAAAAACACCATGAATCCTGGAGCGCCCCTTGAAACCCGAAACCCCAACTCCCATAACCCCGGCCCTACCCTAAACCGTAAGGCCGCAGGCTCTCAAGATGCCTCCTGCGCGTACTCGGACTCAAAGAACTCTGGGCGCACAAACTCAAACACCGCCGCTGCGACCTCCTGTCGGAATACTACGAATCGGAAGTAGGGATCAGGGTTTGGGGCTTGAGGCTCCGAGTTTGGGTCTGTACCGTGAGGGGTTTGGGGGTTCAGGGTCTTGGGGTTTGGGGTGCATGAGTTTTCGTAATGGTACGGAATCACAGCAGTAGCAATGCTACAGAAACGGCAGCGACCGTTCAAACAAAACTATGCCGAAGTTTCGAAGCAATGATTCAGGGCGTGGGCCTGCGGTGTAAGGGGTCCACTGGGCCGCTTAAGACTTGAAGCTTAGACTTAGGGTTTAGGGCTTAGGTGTAAGGGACGCTGGGTTGGTTAGGGATTTGAGGGTTTGCGGTGAGACCCAACAGGTGAGGCGTGCGGGCTGAAGGATTTGCTGTACCAATCTTCAGGCAAGCAACTTCTGGGATTAGGGTCAAGGGTGCGGGGTTTGCGTTTAGTGTGATGGACTGTTGGCACGAAGGCTTGATGTTTTTAGGGCTTCGGGTGCAAGGCTTTAGGTTTCAGATGTAAGGGTTAAGCGCTGGCTCCTCGAGGGCTTCTTGACATTATGGGTTCTCCGAACAGCCCTTCATGGCCAATCAAAAGCCGCCAACATCCACGAATCTAATTTTGCGGTGAATGCTGGACTACAACCTTAAGCCAAACCCTAAACCCTCTACCGAAGGCCCAAACTCCAAACCCTCTACACGTAATCCCTGCAACCCAAATCCTATACACTCTAAATTCTGAACCTTCAAGCCTGAACCCTGTCCCTCAAGACTCGAACACCCTCGCGAACCTCGGGCGTCGGCCAAACGTCGCTCAGGAAGACCTGCGCCGGTGCTCAGGTTTTGAGCACCTCGAGCTCACAGCCTTAACCGTCACTTTAAATTCTTTCAGGCTTCAAGCTGTTTTTGGGACTCCGTTTGTTTCCTGCTTTGGAATCTAGGGCTCAGCATATTGAAAGGGTTCAGGGTGCACACAAAGTCCTACGGCAGCAGGATTAGAAGAAAGTTATCCTTGAGCCAAGATCTTTCGTGTCATCCCTTGAGACCGCATGGTTCGTGCGGGTTTAGGGTTTAGGAGGGGTTAGGAGTTCCAACATCGGAAACTCTAAACCCACTCCAGCTGCCTGAAGGGTCAGAGACTGGGGGCTGGAATGAGTACCTCCATGCCTGCTCCCACCCACATACATGCATCCATCCACCCATGCATGCATACATACATAAACACAGGTGTATATATATATATATAGATACATATGCAATGGAATAGGATAGAACACTATAGAATATGAAACATCTGAAATACAGAGTATAGTATACTATACTATAATATGATATGATGTATACCATGTGATATAATATAAACACGATACAGTATCATATAATACTATGTGTGGACATAAAGACATGTATACGTATATATATATATATATATATATATGTATGTGTACATACGTACGTGTATGTCTATATAGACATACATACATATATGCACACATGCCACATGTATACACATATACTTCTGTACATACATACTAACATACATACATGCACATGTATACATGTATACATCAGTGTGTGTATATATATATATATCCCCACACGCACACACATATGTATATATATATATATATAACATACATTTATACAGTTTTATACATGTATGGTACCCTACACTGTGACTCGTTACGAGAAGAACCTGAGGAGAATGCGAGCTGCTTCATTGTTTGCAAGGTCTCTGCTGTTTTAGGGCTTAGGGTTTAGAGTTCAGGATTTAGGTCTCAGGGGTTTGGGGTCTAGCATTTGGCGTTTAGGTTTTACGGTTTAGAGTTTAAGGCTCTAGGACTTAGGATGTAAGGCGGTTTAGCCAGGCACCCCGACATCTGGACCCGGAAGCCCTAGGGTCGAACACACGCCCCAAATAGCGGCAGGAAGCCTAAACCAGCAACATAAAGCCTTAGATGCCGGAGGAAGCTTTGTTATTGCCTAACCCAATTTAGTTGCTGGGCATTTCGAAGGCCTCGCGACCGTCTGGGTCCAGGCCAAGTGCCTGGAAAGCCAAGTTTCGGCATAACCCTTTGGGCTCCACTTGGTTTAGGGTTTTTTTTTTTTGGTTTAGGGTTTAGGGTTTAGGGTTTAGGATTTCAGGGTTTTGGAGTATATATAGGGTCCAGGGCTGCAGGGAAAGGTTTGGGCTTAAGTGCTGGTGCTGATGTGCTCGGTTTAAGGCTGTAGGTTTAGGATTTCGGGTTCTTCAAGCAGGCCTTGAGGCTTTAGGGCTTAGGTCTCAGGGATGCACTGTTTGGGAATAAAGGAACCAAAGTCGGCAACCGTCATCCCTGAATTCTTGGGGCTCCCGTACGCGCTCAAGGGATATTGGGATAATATATGGGATGTAGATTTGGATGCTGAAACTTCTGTGAATAATGTCTTCGCAAAGGATTCAGGGCGCAAGGGATATGGGAGAGCTTCGGAACGTCTTGGCCTCAGTTCTGGGAATGAGGGATCGAGGCATTAAGGTTTCGCGTGAGTGCTCGGAGTTAAGACTTTAGGCTTGAGCCTCGGCTTCGAAGTCGATGTCCACACGCCCCGCCAACGCTGCCTCAGCTCGGAAGAAGCACTCCGGCTATCTCAGTATTCAGATGACAAATAGAGCGCTGCTCCTCACGATCTCTTGCTGACCATCACCATCACTGCCAGCATAAGGATTACCATCAGCATCAGCATCATCGCTATCCTCATCTTCGTCATCTCTGGAACGCCTCAGTGGCTGGTCTGCCCGTCATGTCTGCAGCAACTAAAGTTACAAGCATATATGATCGATGCTACCATCTGTTCTTGCTACTCCTGAATTCAAGCCGGTCATCCTGCTTTATCGTCGAAGGCATCATCAAAACTAAGCTTACTAGCAGTTACTGTCATCACATTCCACGTCACAATCAACAACAAAGTCATCATCAACAGCATTTTTCGCCATCAGCATCCTAATCATCATCATCGTTATCATCGTCATCAAAATAAGAATAAGAGGAACACCAGCAGCAGCAAAGGAAGCAGCCTCCACCACCCTCAGCAAAAGTGCCATCTTCTGACATGTATGTACCAATTTCTATCGCTACCACAATTACACATGATTGGAATCATCGCTTCGTGCCGAGATTCGGGTAACTACCCGTTCCTGCCTTCAAACCCCAACGGGTGAAACCGAGCTGTAGGACAGCTCCAAACATCTGCCACTAGTTTCCCGGAAGACGTAAGGTGTAGATTCGGTTTCAAGCCAGGCAGTGCGAAAAGAACCCCAAACCCCAAACCACTGACCCTGAACCCTTTTGCAGCAACTCGGCGGCCACCACCAGAGGTGGGGAGGCGAGGTAGTTGGCCTTCACTGAGAGATGGACGCGTCCTCGCGGACAGGCACTTTGGATTTTTAGAGTTTGCGGCAGACGATATCAGCAGCAAAAAAGATGATGATAGTCGCAATGCGGATGAAAAGACTTGCAACGGAGAGAACACGGATGGCAACGACTGACGGTGATGCAAGATGTACCAATAATGATGATAAGAACAATCAGATACCAGCAGCGAGAGCAGTCACACGATGTTGATGGAATGGCAACAGTAATCAAACGGTCTGATGTACGGTGAATGCAACAGTCCAGGCAACCAATTCCAGCGTCGTCCGGACTAGAAATACGACTGCCAATTAGAATAACATACGCAAAAAAAACCTTTCGCAATCGCAGTCGTAGCCACAGTCGTAGCTGCAGCCGTAGTAAGAGTGGTTCCAGAATTAAGCCTAAGGGCAGTAGTAGTAGCAAGTAACGGCAGTAGTGGTGTTTAGCTACTCGTGGTTGTGGTAATGGTAGTGTGGCTGTGGCAGTAGCAGTGGTGGTGGTAGTGGTGGTGGCAGTCGCAGTGGCAGTGGCAGTGGTTGTGGTAGTGGCAGTAGTACTCGTCGACGTAGCAGGCAGCACTTGAAGAAACAGCAACATCATCGACAGCAGCAGCATCAACAATAACAACAACATTAAGCGCCAGCAGCAGCAGGAGCAGGTCTTTCAATAAACACACGCTGTGAACAGATGTGCAGTTGTACGATCCACTCATCCGTGGTACTCTCAGTGTCCCCATTTACGATTGCACTGATTGCTTCGTCTTTGTCTTCAATTTCGCATCAGCAGGGAGCAGGGGGCATCTGGACCGGTGGAGTTGGCCCACTCAGCTGCCAAGCAAAAACCAGCAGGACCCTAAACCCTAAACCCTAAACCCTAAACCCTAAACCCTAAACCCTAAACCCCTAAACCCTAAACCCCTAAACCCAAGAAGGACCACATGCAGCGTGAATGCGAGCTTCCATAGACTTTGACCTCCATGGCTCCGACGTCCAATTTCTACGGTTGACGATAAAAAAACCCTGCACTACCCATAATAAGGGTTCCTTTAAAGGGCTCTATTAAGGGTACCTTTAAGGGGTTTCTTTAAGGGATCTATAGGGTTTAGGGTTTAGGGATGATATAAATCTTGCATTACCCATAATAAGGAATATACCATAATTCCCAGAGTTTGGGGTCCTTGAGGTAATGCAGGATTTATATCATCAACCGTACCACAAAGGACTCGAGTCCGGAAACTATCGAAAAAGAATCGGATCATGACCTGCACAACGCCATGAAACTCAAGCAACGGAACAGACCCTAGCACTAGACTGGACGCCTACTTCTGAACTTCAATCCTAAACCAAAGATACCCTTTGAACCTGAACCAGCCAACCTGAGGGACCTTTCTTTCTTAGCAGAGCAGATGGAGAATCGCATTGATAAGTTGTCAACCAGCTACAGAATGCTACAGACACACCCGTAGTCCTAGGCCTAGGCGTTGAGACCCGAACCCTGAACCTCCAAAACCCTAAATCCAAAAATCCTCACTCTCCAAAAAACCTTAACCCCTTAGAGCCATAAAACCCCCGAAACCCTAAACCGCTAAACCCTAAACCGAAACCGCAACTTCGGCTTCGAAGGCCTTCGAAGTTCCGGTTCCCCGACAGCACTGCGGCCGTGATGAGGCCCTGGTCCGCGGCGGCCTCTGGGAGGGATTTTTTCGGGGTTTGGGTTTAGGGTTTAGGGTTCCTTTAAAGCGACCCATAAGGGTTCTATAAGGGATCTATAGGGTTTAGGGTTTAGGCTTTAGGGTTTAGGGTTTAGGGTTAGGGTAGGGCGCCTTTGGTTTAGGATCAGGACTTGCGGTTTTGGAGTTGCGGGTTTAGGGTTTAGGGTCTCCACTGTTGAGAACCCGACCAACACCTAAACCCGAAAGAGCACATAAACCAACAGAAAAGGAACTCCCCCTCTCCAACAAAGGAAGAATGCTGAGACAACATCCGAAAGCCCAAAGCCCGGGGAGTAAAAGAAGTAGTAGTTGTTGTAGCAGCAGCAGTAGCTGTAGCAGTAGCAGTAGCAGTACTGGTAGTAGCAGTAGTAGTGGTAGTGGCGGCGGCAGCAGCAGCATAGTAGTAGCAGTAGTAGCAGTAGTAGTAGTAGTAGTAGTAGTAGTAGTAGCAGCAGTAGCAGTACTAAGAGCAGCCGCAGGAGGACAAGGAGGAGGAGGAGTGACACCAGCAGTGGGCAATAGCAATCATCATCTGGATCATCACAACAACCGTCATCATTGTCATATACCAGATGGAAAGCATCATCAAAGCATCAATTACAGGGAACGTCAGCAGCCATTTCCATTGACACGATGACAGGCAACAGCTTGTCGTTATTACCGTGTCTCTTAGTTCTGCCATGCTCATTATTAAAATCTTGTTGGTATTGCTAAGCTTGTTTTCATTACTGGTATTATATTGTGGTGTCATTACTTTTACTACTACTGTCGTTGTTCGAGATGGTAGACCCTTAAATCCTAAACCCTCGGGAGCCTGCATTGCGGGGTCGACGTCGCCAGAGTTGCCCATGCCTCGGTTTGCCATTGTAAAACTGTGTTGGCCAAGCTCCAGTCATAATCAGCATCGTCAGCTCCTTTAGGGGTTTAGGGTTTAGGGTATTATTCTCCTTATCGTCGCAACATAAACACCATAATCCACACCGTCATCTTCACCGTCGTCACACAAGCCTCCGCACCGTCTGCAGCATACTGTTTGCTGATCTACTTTCTCGCTGTTCTTTCCCCCTCCGAGATGAAACCCTTTTCTCAAACCCTAAACATCCCAAAGTTATATTTGAGTCATATTATGGTCATATCTTGGCTATATTATAGCTAATATTGTATCAAAAAACCTGCTTCAAGCCTCAAAGAGCTTCGCATGCGTCGGCCCGTGCACGGACTGAGGGTTTAAGGCTTCAGCGTTTATGGCAGTTTACGGCTCACGCCTTCGGGTTTGATATAGGGGTCTTACGACGAGACCAGGGTTGGGGACGAAAAATAACTTTTCTCTTTAGTATAACTTTAGTACTCCTTAGCTTAATATAACTTTAATATACCGCTAGGGCATCAGAGACTGGGTCACCACCGGGCCCTGCCGCCTAGGCGCACGTTGTGCAACCGTAGCCCACGGTGTGGAAGCCTAGAGCCTCCAGTGGACCTGAGAGCCCCGCGGCCTGCGGAGGAGCAACATCTGTTGACGGTTCACTTACCTTTGGTTAATAGGGTATGGAGGAATGGGGTGAAGTTATAACTAGTATTATATACTACCATTCTTCCATTCCCTACTAACCAAAGGCAAGTTCAGGGTTCAGGATTCAGGGTTAGGGCTTAGGATTTGAGGTTTAGGGTTCAGGGTTAAGGGGAACAGGGCTTTAGGGTTCAGAGCTTGGGATCTGGAGGGTGTAGGGTTGAGGATTTAGGGTTCAGGGTTTGCGGTTGAGGATTGGTCTGGGGCATAGACAGAACTCATATGCTTCATTAACCACTCTGCCCAGACACCTCCAAGTATCGCGTCACCACACGTGATCCAGGCGCAAGGGATGTCTTCACGTGCTCTGGGGTGCGCAAGCCACGCTGGACCGCCTGAGATCAAAACTATCGATGGCAAGTTCTGTTACCATCAACAGGGCTTATAGCTAAATTCACATGGACCTGTTCCCCGCGAGTCCGCCGATCATGAGCAGCACAGCTATTTGCATACTGGGTGCTCTTTACTTTCTGTTTCTCTGCGTTCCCATGCCCCCGAAGATTGAACATGGCCTTCTTACTCGTCTGCTACACACTAATACTCTCAGTCTTCTTCTCCGTAGAACTAGTGTCATTGCTGCTCCACATGCTCATACATGGCCTGCTTGCTACTCACACCGTCAGTCAGTCTCAACGCATCTTCCTTTAAGTAAGCTCCACACTTGTGCTGTGCGTTCTACTTGTGCTGCCCTGAAAAAAGCTGCGACCCCATATCTCTCCAATGAGCTGCTACTCGAATTAGTCTAGGCACTCCCAGTAAAGCTACTAGGCTGTTACTGCAGCGCCGCACATTTATCACGCGCACTATTGCTCTGTTTGCTGTGACAATTCTTGTGTTTTCCCCTCCACCCCACCGACGTCGTACTCCGATTGCTCCACCGGTCGTCGTTCAACCCATGTTGCACTTTCCACATTTCTCTGTTTGCTGCTCATACTTGGAAAACTTTTTTCGGTGTCACAACTGGTTGATGTTGCTCTGCCGAAAAAGCAGTCTTGACACCAAGGTTGCCACTCTGTTCACTCGCGGCTGCTTGTTCAGCGTGTGTGTGAGTGTTGCCGCTGCTGTTTCCCAACTCGCTGCCATGTCTGCTTCTTCCCTCATCGTTATCACCATGCACACTCCTGGTGCACGTTCTCGACAGTAGAGGCAACACTCATAGCCTCGCCGCTAAGACTCTGATGAAAGTTTTCTGCTATGGACCCGGCTGTGGCACTGACACCCAACCGAAATCCCGCTAATAGACCCCTAAACGATACAAAATCCCCTGGTGTACTATCTATCTCATATGAAAGTATAGTACACTCGAACGTACTCTGCTAGACTCTGGTATGCGAGTATCTCAACTCGGAAACGCTTCAGGCACCGACCCACGAGAAGTCTGTCTACAAGGGCCCCAGAGATCAACTACAATAAACACATGTACATGTACGTACTGACTTGTTCTTTCACGTACTGAATTGTTCGTATACGTACTAAGCACCTAGCTACTAGTTACTATTTGCTTCTATGTGCAGAGTTTAGTTCTATGGTTACAAAGATAACTTTACAACCTTTGGGGCGAACAGTTTTTGTTTCAGAACAACCCGGCTCGCTGTCCTGCCTCGAACCTCCTAAACCCGACTCGGCAAGACTACCCCTAAAGCATGAACCCTCAACCCTGAACCCAAAACCCCTAAACCCCAGGCCCTATATCTTGAAACCCGCTAAACCCCTAAACCCCTAAAACTTGAACCTTAAACACCTCAACCCCTAAACCCTAAACCCACCTAAACCCAGAACCGCTGAAGCCTCAGCCCCTCCGGGAGAGCCTTTTTCGCCAGAAGCCCCGCGGCCAGAAGAACAGAGGGGTTGCTGGTGTTGGTGCAGCTCGTGATGGCCTGCGGGTTAAGGATATATGTGAGTTTCCGAAAATTAAGCGTGCCATATTCGGGGGTCCTTATAAGAAGGATCCTATGATTTAGAGTACTTTATTAGGGTCCCCTATTCGGAAACCTCCATATAAGAACATACAATAGCGTCTAAGATAGTTAGTAGAAAAACGATGTCATATAATGATGTATGCATAGTAGAACACTTTAAAAAGGGTTTAGGGCTTAGGGTTTTAAGGTTTAGGATTTTCGGGTTTGAGGGTTAGGGTTTTAAGGTTTAGGATTTTAGGTTTAGGGTTTAAGCAGATTGCATGTCAATGCTGTAGAAGCTGATGCGTGGTAAGTGCTGCACGGCTGCATGGCAACCATACATGAACAGGAAAACTCACTGTTGCACGACGGGATACAGCAGGCCGTCTCATTACATCGCTGTGCTTTGCACGACATGTTGAGCCTATCTTCGAGAAGCAGATTTTGATGCTTGCGGTTCAAACAACATACGACCGAAGCTGCAAAGCACGCGGTATCTCGCACGGACAACAGTACATTCCAAATCGATATCTGAAATCCTAAGACAGATGCATGTGCATACGCGTCTGCATATCATACGCCTCTACGAACACGTGCTCATATGCATACATGTGTTCAAGCTAGCGTGCTGCAAGCACATCGAACGTGTCTCTTGCGCACCGGTATCCGCCAGCTGCTATACACCTGGCAATAGGGCATCTGCTAAGTGTAGTACAAACGGCCATGAGGACGGTGGAACCCTAGACCCTTACTTAAAGCCGAACTACAAACCCTAAACCCTTCAAAACCCTAAAAACCAACACCCTGTAACCTAAACCCCACGCCCACAAGCCAAACCGATCTGATCGACTTTCCGGCAAATGGCAAACCTGAACACAAACCCCTCGGCTACCGAGAGGCGGCGATGGCCAGCTGACCGTGGTTTACAGTCATCGAGCGATTCTCCAATTCCAGAACCTGCAATGCACAGAAACGAAGACTGAGAACCCAAACGCGGGGAAACGACAACAGGAAGATTGGGCAAAGGCAGCACGGGAAGAGTTGCGATACGATCGAAAAATCAACAAACAGGATGACCAAAAAGACTTTCACTGTAAACCTTAGGGTCTATTTGTTGTGGGGTCATGGGCAGTTTTGGGCTTCAGGTTTAGGGTTAGGGTTTTAGGCACAGCAACAATCCGAAGTGTGCTGCTAGCAGGACATGTGGGTGGAAGTCGAGGGTTCTGGTTTAGCCTTTGTTACTGGGAAGAGGGTTCTGGGGACATTCGCGTGCAAGGCCCTGCATGGAGCGAAGAAGACCCTTGAAGTAAAAAACGAAAACTGAAACCGCAGATTACAAACGCTATTGCCATTGCCACGACTACTGCCATATGCATTACCCTTGCAGGCAGCATTTACAACCTATGCCTAAAAGTAGCACCTGCACTAGAACTACTACACGACACTAGGTTGTGTGCATGATGCTACTACTACTAAACTACTACTACAACCACCACCAGTACTACGACCACCATGACGACGACGACGAGGACTACTATTGCTACTGCTGCTACTGCTGCTGCTGCTGCTACTGCTGCTACTGCTGCTACTGCTGCTACTGCTGCTACTGCTGCTACTGCTGCTACTTCTACTTCTACTTCTACTTCTACTACTACTACTACTACTCCTGCTGCTGCTACTGCTCCTGCTGCTGCTACTGCGATTGTTACTGCTACTGCCACTACTTCTTCTGGCGTACCCTAAACCCTCCCCGAAACCCCCCAAGCCTGAAACCCCCAACCCCCAAACCAAGAGGATGGCCTTGGGGCCCAGGGAATTAGGATCCAGGCCGAAGCCCGAGTGGCCTTGGGCACGGGGCTTTGGGGCTGGGGAGGTGGATGGCTTAGGTTGGAGGCTTCCTTAAAGCGCTAGATCTATAAGGGGTTTAGGGTTTAGGGTTGTGGGTGCAGGGCTTAGGGCTAGGGCTTAGCGGTTTAGCGGTCTAGCGGGTTATGGCTTTCGGGCTGGGGCTTTGGGCTTTGGGGGTGTGGGGTCTAGGTCGGGGGATGCTTACTTGAAACCTTCTGACTGAAGGGACGAACTGGTAGACGGGGTGTTGAAGCTGCGGGCTTATGGCAACACTGCACCAAGAGTCATCAACATCGCCACCACAAGCACCATCACCATGGTTCTCAGGGTACTCGTGATAGCCAGAATACTAGGGAAAGCTTGATGCAACGAACAACAGCTATAGCAACGACAACAAGGGTCTCAAGAGTCTCAAGACGAGTAGTGGCAATGAACGACAACTCCAACTGCAAGAGAAATGGACAGCCGCAAGAATCTAAGAAGCAGCCAGAAAGTCAATGATAATCCTGACAAGGCCAACTACGACACTGGAGGTAGCAATAACACTTAAATGCAGCAAGAGTGCTAACACTAGCAACACCGACAATAAGAGTATCAGTAGCCACCAGCAAGAATCCAGATCACAAAACCGCTGAGAGCAACCATGGTACGAGTCAGAAGCCCAGAAACTACATCCTAAACCACCCTAGGAGCCTGAACCATCCTAATCCGTAAACCCCTAAGCCTCGAAATCGCTAAACCCTTAAACCCCAAACCTGAGCCCTCAAGCCAAAACCCCTAAACCCTAAACCCCTAAACCCCTAAATCCCTAGACCCCTAAACCCCTAAACCCCTACACCCCTAAACCCCTACACCCCTGAACCCCTACACCCCTACACCCCTACACCCCTATTTAAACCCCTACACCCCTAAACCCCTAAACTCCTACACCCCTACACCCCTAAACCCCTAAACCCCTAAACCCCTAAACCCCTTCACCCCTAAACCCCTACACCCCTAAACCCCTACACCCCTAAATCATTAAACCCTAAACCATTAAACCCTAAACCATTAAACCCTAAACCATTAGACCCTAAACCATTAGACCCTAAACCACTAAACCCTAAACCATTAGACCCTAAACCATCAAACCCTAAACCATTAAACCCTAAACCTGAACCCTTGGGGCGAAGTCCCAGGGGCCCGAAGGCTGCGTCAGGGCCGTGTGGAAGCTCTTCTTGAGCTCACCCAAGGGGATCCGATCCTGGTTTAAGGGTTTAGGGGTTTAAGGGTTTAAGGGTTTAAGGGTTTAAGGGGTTTAAGGGTTTAGGGTTTGGGGTTTAGGGGTTTAGGGTTTAAGGGTTTAGGGTTTAGGGTTTAGTTCCTTGTATGTGTCAGAGAACTCGGTGAAATCGGAAGCTCTCTAACATCCGCCAGCTGTGATGATATCACAGGCAACCACCCAAACCATCTCCTGTTAGGGTTTAGGCCTTACGGCCTCAATTCCCACACCACGGGAGACAAGGAGCTCCCACCGCAGCGGCGCAGAAAAAAGGCCGCGGGCGCACAAAGGCAGGGCAGGCAAGCAGGGCTGGGCAAGGGCAGGGGCAGGGCAGGGCTGGCCGGCGGCGAGGCAGAGCGCTGTATTCGACCACTCTCCAGAGGCTCCACCCATTGTTTGGCCCAGTGTGTGTAAAGGCTGCCGGTTTAGAGGTTCTTAAGGGGCTTGTGGAGAAGGCTCTTGGCTCAGGAGCCTCTCCCTGACTTGGGTTAGGGCTTAGGGGTTTGGGTTTTGGGTTTGGGGTTGATTTGGGGTCAGGGTTTAGGGTTCGGGATTTTGGGGTTTAGGGCTTAGGATTTAGGGGCGTGTGTCGCCCGCATGACATGCAACACAACTGGGAGGCCGGGACAAGAAGCTTTCAGAGTGGCAGTAGTAGTGACAAGCCGCATCATGGCAATTGACATCAACACCACCGGACCACCGTAGTACAACCATCATAAGGGACCCTAAACTTAAACACCAGTATTGCTGACTATTCGGGCCCTACAGTAGCCAGAAATGACACAAGCCCTCGGTTTGAACGGCGAGCCCGGAAGCCCTAGAGTCTGCAATTGGGGTCCATTTGGGCGTCCTGTTTATACGGGTGCGGTACCAGTTTAGGGGACCCCCAAAAGCACCCTAGTTCACAGAACTTCCCATATTCCTGAATCATCAACATAAGTATCCTTCAGGTGATCATCTTGAGGGCCTTGAGCCCGAAAACCTAGCCCCAAGCCGTAAAAAATGCAAAAACAACAAAAGAAAACAACTCAGACCATCCTAATTTTGTGGCCTTTGCAATCTGAACAGTTGTACCTGTGCATATGTGCCATCAACTAACCAAAAAACCTCAAAAAGTCGAACCTCTCAACGCCTTCATCCCCTCAAAGTTGTTCAAGGGTTTCGGGCGGAACCTAGACAGTCTGACTCAAGACTTGCAGCCCCGAATCCTACGCCTCACACCTCAGGGTCAGAGGGCCAGGGTATAGGGTTAAAGACTCAGAGTTTAAAGTTTAGGTTTGGAAAATGGGGTTCAGGGCTTAGGTTTAGTCTTGGGGTTGAAAAATGCGCCCACCGCGCCTGGGGCCGCTTCGGACCCGCCATGCAGGGCACGACAGAGGCAAGGTCCAGGTGGGTTACCTCTCTTGTCGTTTAGGGTTTGGGGTTTAATCAAGTCCCCCACCCGATAGTAGTGTACAGAAGAGAAACAAGTAAGTAACTCCTCCGTTCAACTGTTGGTGGAAGAGAAACAAGTAAGTAACTCCTCCGTTCAACTGTTGGTGGATGGCCGCTAAGTTTAAGTTGTTGTCACTGTTGCCGCGTCTATTGCAAGTGTTTGAACTGTTGCATGATGCGATACTGCCAAGATTCAAAAGCAATGCACGAACAACAAGAGTGCCGGACTGCGTAGATCCACTGGCAGTACAGACAAATTACAGCCCACGAAATTGGAGCCTTCGAAGTATTGCGAGTCCATCCATGATCTTGATCTGTTGGTTGTTCTACAATCGCTTCACCACCTGAAGATAAAAAGCTTAGAACCAAAACTCTACATCATGGCAGGCTGTTGCATTACAGTCTACCTACTTGCATTTACTGCCTGATACATTGTGTTTCTGCTGCTGCGGAAAGGCTCTTTCTTATTACGCCCCGGTTTGCCTTCAAAGGCACTGATGAATAAGTCACGGACTCGAAGGCTGATGCCCCAAAGAGGCCGCTGGCCCGGTAGTACTCCTGGGTTTGAGGCGTTGCGGTTTGAGGGCTTAAGTTTTAGGGTTCAGGGTTCGAGGTTTCAGGGTCTACTTGGAGGATCAGGGGACTTAGTAAGTAAGGTCATAAGTACCCCAATTGGGATTAGAAGTACGTATATGTATAGCTACCTTATTTATAACCCTATTTGCTAAGCCCCATGATCCTTTAAGTAGGATTTGGCTTTCAAACAGAGTTGCTGGCTTGCCGCTCCAGAGCTCGGTCATCTGCAAAGTGTCCTAAACTCTAAAGCAAGTATCTGTCAGAAGCCCCTGAGCACACAAAAGCCTAGATTCTTGCCCTGAATCCCTCCTCTGTCCCTGTAGCTTGCTCAAGACCCACGAAAAACTACCTGGGTAGTTCTCTAGATTAGGGTCCTTCTTCATGTGCCCAAAATGGTAGGTATAAGAAGGACCCCCTAAAAGGGACCCGAATTTTGACAACTACCCGCGTGCGACATCTGGAGACTCTGGTGCTGTGCTGGTTTAGCAGTGTTGAAACCTACCTTAACCTACCAAAACCTACTTTTTTGTAGGGTCCCTATAAATTCCATATTAGGGTTTATAATAAGAACCTACAAAAAAGTCGGGTTTGGTAGTTCAAGGTATATGGGAGTTTCCGAAAATAGGGGGCCCTAATATAGTACCCCAAATAGTAGGATCCTTACTATGAGGACCCAAAATAAGGTACCCCCAATTTTCGGAAACTCCTACATGCGGTTCCGGGAGCACACCCGAAGCAAAACGATAAAACCGAAATGTGCGTTTCGGCCGGCAGAAACGGGCCAGGGAGTGTCAAGACCTTCAGGCTTTCAAGGGACTTTATGAAGAGGAGTTAGCAGACATCCAGCAGGGAGCAAGTTTAAGGTCACGCAGAGGACCAAAAGCGAAACTCGAACCGGTTTCGGGTTTAAAGGGCTTATGAAGGGCTTGTGCTTCAGGAACCCTCGCAGAGGAATCCCTAAACCCATCCTAAACCCTAAACCATTAGATGGATCCCCAAACCATAACGTTGCGCCTCCACACGGTCCACGTGCACCTTCTCGCGTCCGGTCATCTGAAGGTACTGCAACGTCCTGGTGGTGCTTGGAGGATCAGGGGACTTAGTAAGTCAGGCTATAAGTGCCTAAATTGGGGTTATAAGTACTTGTATGTATAGTTGCCCTATTTATAATTCTAGTTACTAAGTCCCATGATCCTTTAAGTAAGCTTAGGATTCTGGATTTAGGGCTTCTCGAATAAGTGAATAAGTGCCTTAATTGGGGATATAAGTACGTACTTGTAGGTATGGATACCGTGTTCATAACCCTAGTTACCAAGTCCCCCGATCCTGTAAGTGGGGCCCTGGGTGAGTTTGAGAAGGTTGAGAGTTCAGGGTCTGGGTCTTGGGATGAAGTTTTGAGGGTTTCAGGTCTGGGGGTTCAGGGTCGGGGCCTAAGCTTTGGGAACTTTAGGGCGATGAAGCGTTGGAGTTAGTGTTGAAGATAGGAGGAGGCCCCCGAAACCCCTGCAGCAGGCAAACTTGCAAAAGCATCATATATAACCCGAATGTAAGACGGTTCTAGAAACCACTTCGGCATGTGGAGGGAAGAGAAACTCCACCGCTGCTTTCCTTTCAAACTGTAAAATCTCAAACCCCAAACCAACGAATGCGTTCGGGGCTTGGAGTTGAAGGATTTTTAGGGTTTAGCTAAGGTTAGTTAAGGGCTTACAACCGCGAACCTCGAATACCAAACTGCAAACTATAAGCCCCAAACACACCTGGCAACACAATCCCGAAGTCCTTTTCCAGCTTCTGGTAACCCTTAACCCTAATAAATTCTAAACCCTAAACCCTAAAACTCTTCGAAGTTGTTTTGGGTTTGGGTCTAGGACTCGGGTGGAGGGCCTTGCGAGTTCCGGTGCTCGCGCGCAGGACTTTCTTTTGTTGGCTTCAAGGGCCACGGTTCAGGGTTTAGGGTTTAGGGTTTAGGGTTTAGGGTTTAGGGTTTAGGGTTCAGGGTTTAGGGTTTAGTCTTTAAGTTGCTTTTGGGGTTTGGTGGTTCAGGGGTCAAGGGGCTTAGGGCGCAGTAAGTAGTGGTCAGGGTTAAAGGCGTGTAAGGGTTTTCGGTTTAAGGGTTTAGTTTTGGGGTAGTGGTGGTAGTAGTAGTAGTAGTAGCAGTAGTAGCAGTAGTAGTAGTAGTAGTAGTAGTAGTAGTAGTAGTAGCAGGGGCAGCAGCAGTACGTAGTGGCAGTCGCAGTAGCAGTAGCAGCAGTAGCAGCAGTAGCAGTAGCAGCAGCAGGAGCAGGAGCAGGAGCAGGAGTAGGAGTAGGAGTAGTAGGAGTGCGAGTAGTAGATGTAGTAGCAGTAGCAGTAGCTGCACTGTCAGCATCCCCGAAGAATGCCTTGAATCAACCGCGAAGAGGATGCAGGTCGCACCGCACTCCTTCGATTGAGGGTGGCTTGACTTGAGCTCGAGGGTTTAGTCATCGTGAGGTTGGCGTCTTCGGATTCCCGGTTTGGGATAGAGCTTGTTGGAGTTTACTGTGGTTAGGGGTTGTGGGCTCGGGGACCTCAAGAAATCGGGCTTCGATATGATACGGCGTTGAACTCAAGGGTGGCCACAAAGGCGAGAGACACACCAAGTAACAGAGGATCTGCTGGGTCTGTACACAAGCATAGACAAAGCAGGACTATAGCATGGTCGGCCTTTCTACAACCTCTTCTCCCGACCCTAAACCCTAAACCCTAAACTCTAAAACCCTAAACCCTAAACCCTAAAACCCTAAACCCCTAAACCCTAAAACCCTAAACCCTAAAGCCATGTCTTCGACACTGAACCCTGAACCCTACATCCTCAAGGGATGACAGTCAAAGCCCAAAGCTTTTTTTGGGGGGCATCTATAAGGGTACTATAATAATGTAGGATCCTGATCAGGAAACCTAGGGCTGTTATTAGGGTTCCTTATATGAGCCAGTTTGAGGGTTTTTTGGAACCGCTTTCATCTTCTTGCGATTCCTGGCTTGGTGGTCGTTTCTGCTCGGGGGTGACGCCAAAGATTCAGGGCTTAATGTAGGAGACTAAATAATTACCAATACTATTTTGGGGTTCCTTCTTATAGATATAATATGATCTACCCCAAAACCCTATTCCAGTTATTAAGGCCCTGAAAAAGGCTTCTCCGAAGATCTAGCCGAGGCTCCGGTGCCATGTTTGCCACAGTGAGGCGGTCAGTGACTGCCAAACTTTCCTTCCCAGCTGTCAGAGCACTGAGCTTGGAGCGGTTTTGGGTTGGGGTCCCCCCGGCCAAAGAAACCCTACAGCTTAAACTCCAAACTCTCAAAACACCAGCAGGATCCCAAGCCCTAAACCCTACACCCTAAAACTGTTGATGTCTGATGTTTCGATGTGTGTGCGTGCCGAGGCCTTTGAACGGATCTGTCGATCCAAGAGAGGATGTTCCGCATACATAAACATCGCTTCAGAAGTTTCGCTTAAGGCTGTAAGGCAGTGCTCGCAAAGCAAATGCAGGCCACAGCTGACAAGACTTCAGGCGTTGTTGTGAAAACATTTGTCCTTTCAATTCGCTGAGCCATGGTATTGATCTAGCTGAGAAGAACATATGGCCGAAGCTTCCTCGTCGAGAGTAGACCCAGCAGTTCGCGATCCCCAACAACAACAGGTTATGAGTCGCCCAAGTGGTGTGGTGCTTGAGGGAGAAACTGCAGGACCCAACTATGGAACTGTGAATGGAGTGTTGCCTGAACGTACAAGCCAGCGAAGAGGAGCATCTACAGCTTTACCTTTGGGAAGGTCAACTCAGGTGCCAATGCCGACTGCTGGTGAGAGTTCCGGGCAGCTAGACCATGCAGCCCCCGTTGGAGGACCATCGGCAGGTAGCGATCAACCAGGACCCTCGGTTTTGAGGGGTACCACCGGATCGGTTGAGCGTACAGTTTTCAATGGTGGTGAGAGAACCGGATCGGGCGCGACGGAGCAACGAGGGCACGTGAGCGCACATGCACATATAGCAGAGCCGCAGCTGCAACCACCACCTCCACCACCTCCACAGCCCAAAAGCATCACTGAGCAACCACCGCAGCCGCTGCAGCAAGGTTTATCGTCTTCTCCAATGAGGGAACGGTTGCCGCCTCCGCTTCAACATGCCGTACATCAGCTTTCCCAGCAGAGGACCGCTGTGATTCAGGCTGTTCAGACGAGAGCTCAACGGGCTCTTCAAGGTGTTAGACCTGAAGGTGAACAAGGAATAGAGGGAAGCGTTTTTGGGACTCCGGCAAGTTTGGTGGGCTCTCCTGTGGCGGAGCAACAGACAGGTGAAGAAAGGAATGCTGGAGCCTGGTCGGTGACCCGGTTCAGCGAAGTGCTGCACAGAAGGTTTGTAGCACCAGTCCTTGAGCATGTTGGCGGTGGTGATCGGGCCCCATCATCTTCACCTACATGGCATACGCCGTCGCATGGAGTCAGGGATCCGCCGTTGATGGAACCGGAGACAAGGAGGGCCATGGCAGCTTGGACCTCCCAACCCACGGCCATTACGACGCCGGTGCCGGCACCTCCACCTCCCCTACCTCGAGATAACAGTGGAAGCCTTTCGCAGGGTGAGGTTATGGAAGAAGTACGGCGTCAAGTGCAGCTCGCGATGGAAGGACGAGATTTGGAACTGAAGGACCTACGTGAGAGGAACACAGAGCTACGAAAGGCCTTAGATGATTCTGCTCAACTTCTTCATGAGGTGATGCAAGCTGGAGGAGTTGGACGAGACCGGGACCTTCGTGAGGCTCAGCAAGGGCCTTCGGCTTTAACTGGAGGTGATCTTGCGAGTAGAGGGCGCGGTTATGGTGTTCAAGCGGAGGCTCCTCCAGGACTCGGTGTACGTGATGGATTACTTGGCCGCAATCTTTCGGGGCAAGGGCAGGGTGAACCTGGACCTGGTGAGGGCCTTGGAGGAGGGCTAAGTCAAGGTGTTTCCAGCTTTGGCAATCCAGCAGTGGCAGTGCCTGTTGAACATGAGGGCGCTGTGAGAGCGGGAGCCTTGGAGGAGGAACCCTTGCGTGGAGCAGTGCCCGTGGCGGGCGACCCGGAGGCTTCGTCCTTGAATCTTCTGATTCAGGGTATGAGACAGCTTCAGCAGATGTATTTGGAAAAGGGAAATGGACAGGGCGGTGATGCGCTCAAGGGGAGCGTTGAGCTCCCACAGTTACCGGAGCCCGTGGGCGAGATGGGGATTGAGTTCAGCGACTGGTTGTACGTGGCAGAGCAGACAATTGGGTCCCTTTCAGACTCAGCAACAGTGTGGTTCGATATGACTCTGCAGTGTGCTCGTGAGGCATACAAACGACATCAATCGGCGACCCCGTTGGATCGGCTTTCGATCGCCCCAAAGATCCCCAAGGACCTGATGGAGAACAGATGGAGCCGACTGGAGCGCAAGGTGATGACAATGCTGTTGTTGGCCATGCCAAAGGCGATCAAGGAGGATTGTGTTATGCACCGTGTGGCTACAGTGGCGGGGACTTTGTTTCGGTTGCACATCCTCTATGCGCCGGGTGGGATCAATGAACGGACAGCAGTGCTGAAGCAGCTCGAAGGTAGCCAGGGCAGCGAGAACATCGTGGAAGTGATCACTGCTCTTCGAAAGTGGCGGAGGACTCTTACCAGAGCGAGCGAGATGAATGTGAGCCCACCGGATGCCAGTGTACTCTTAAAGGGTGTCGAGTTGATCGTCTCCAATGCGGTTAAGCGGCACCCGGAGGTTAGCTTCAGATTGGCTTTGACCCGGAATGATCTTCAGTTGCAAAACCGGCCGACTCCCGAAACTGTGCTCAAGTACTACGACCACGTCTTGGCGGAGCTACAACAAGCTTCGCCCGTGAGGACGTCAGGGAGAGGCAGTCAGCAAGGGGAAGATCAGCCCCGACTTCGAGCAGTAGATGGTCAGGCTGGTACCGGAGGGACTTCCGCCGGCTCTCCAACGGGCTCGCCTTCCAAGGGAGGTAGCAAGGGTGGTGTTTGCAAGTTCTTCCAGTCAGAGAGCGGGTGCAGAAGGGGAACATCGTGCAAGTACCCCCACGACTTTGCGTCGAAAGAAGAGAAGAGAGCCAGATGTTGGTTTTGTGGGAGTCGCCAGCACCGTCAAAATGAGTGCCCGGTGAAGGACGCCAACAAGGCAGCGAGACCACCTACGTCGCCCTCCTCCTCTACTACAACCACTCCTGCAGCAGTCAAGGCCGCGGTGATCCCGGCCGTTGCACCGATTCCAGAACCAAAGGCTACTGGACCAATGGCTTCCTCGGCGAGTTCTACCTTGACGGCGTCTACGGCCTCCTCAGAGCATGTGGTGCAAGCGGAGCCGGTCCAGGCCTTTACGCCAGAGGCTTTGCAGAATCCGGAGCTTCAAACTTTCATGAAGGAGGTCAACACGATGCTGCAAAGGTTTTCGAGGCTGAACCAGCTGTCTTTGGTCAAGGACTCGGAGTTTGCAGAGAAGGTCAAGAAGCTCGAGGATGAGTTGTCAGGCAGCGGTGAAGAACATGGGGCATGGGCGCTGCTGGACTCTGGTGCGACGAACCCGTATCGTCGAGCCCGAGAAGGAGAAGAACAGTTTGCGATGCCAGTACAAGTACAGCTTGCGGACGGCAACTCAGTTCTCCTACGGCAAAACAAGGCGGGTACGCTCATGCCGTTCAGCCAAAAGCAGGCCGAAGCCACCAACAGCTCAGGGGCCGTAATCGTCCCACTTGGCAGCCTAGTGCGTGAGTTAGGCTGCACGGTCTCCTGGACCAAACGTGGGCTACAAGTGGTTCACCCAGAGCATGGAGTTATCACAACACATGTTTCCGGAGCATGTCCGTTTATCGGGGAGGCCAAGGCTTTGGAGTTGATCGGCGAGCTTGAAAACCACAAGCTGGAGCAACTCAAGGCCGCGACCGTGGAGGGTCAGCTAAAAATGTGTGGAGTCGAGACCCAGCCGAACTACGGCATCCAGCTGGCCGAGTATCGCCGAACCGGGAAACGGGAAGAAGGACTCAAGGCTTTGATGTGCGAGGACTCAGTGTTTGGCAGCTTGACAGAGGCCCAGAGGTGTGCGATGATCCATGATGTGGACTTGAGTGACAAGGCTGGGCACCGCTACTTGAAGGCGCTGCCGGTGAAGAGAGCTATGAGGAAGCGTTTGATGTCGACACAATGGCTGGTGCACCTATACTCGGGTGAAGGGGGCAGCGAGGAGCTCAAGGTGCTTGAAGACAATTGCGTGACGTTGCTAGAGATTGACTTGAGCCTCAGCAGATCTTTCAATATGAGGGAACCCAGCGCGGTCTACAAGGCGCTTTTGTGGGCTGCCATGCGAGGTCAATTACATGGCCTGATTGGGGCTCCACCACGGGGAGAAGGTTGCGGGGAACTGGTCCTGAAGCAGATGTTTCTTTGGAATCTGGCCAGAGTGACTGCAGAAGAACATGAGGTTTCCTGCCCCATCCTCGCGATGACGTTGCCAAGAAAAAGTGAGCTCTGGAAGTCAGCGATGTGGAGGAGTTTTCGGGATTCCATGGGTTTGACGTTGAGTTTGGGGTCACCGGATGTTGTTTTGGCTACCAACATGATCGTGAAGGACTCTGTTGAACCATGGGAGCGGACCTCGAGAACAGGGGCCATTGTATGGACAGAAGACTTTAGAAGGGCTCTTGTTCGAGCTGTTGTGCACCAAAGGTCCCGGTTTGCTCTTCGAAGATTGGAAGGACCTCTTAGCTCCATGACCAAAGAGGAGCTGGCCAAATGGTTGGTTCATGTCAGGAACGGGCATATCCCGTACCACAAAAGGTGCCAAACTTGTGTTGCGACGAGGGCTACTGGACACCAACACAGACGTGTGGAAGCACCATCATGCAATGTGATGTCAGTAGATGTCTGCGGGCCTTTTCGAAAAAAGGGCCAAACCCCTGATGGTTTGAACTACAAGTATATGTTGGTCGCTTCGTACACTATGCCGGTGATCAAGGGACGCAGGACTGGACCGGATGATGAAATTGTCAATGAAGATGCTGCGGGAGTTGGTGACATACCTCTAGATGATCCAGAACCCGCAGGTGATCCCCCACCAGTCAGAGATCCAGAACCCACAGGTGATCCAGATGAGCTACCAATCAGAGGTCCAGAACCCACAGGTGATCCAGATGAGCTACCAGTCAGAGGTTCAGAACCCACAGGTGATCCAGATGAGCTACCAGTCAG